CTGATGTCAGCCACACAGCGGATCACGATGGATGCCTTCATCCCAACCAGAGTTTCCTGCCCACCAGCAAGGCAGAGAACAAACGACCCGATTAGCTGACAGGCACTGTGCCCCTGGCACCCCCACGCCTGGGACGAAGCGGCTCCCACTCAGGTGCGGCTTGGCCCGAGGCACCCGCCGGAGCGAAGGGCTGCCCTTCAGGGCTCTGGAGAAAAGGCAGTGTTTCCAGTATCCTGCTCCGAAGCTGGGTGTCGGGGGTGGGAGGCATTTCCAGGCCGTGGGGTGAGCCTGGCTTCCTTGGCCCCACTTGGGTTTGGGGCCCATTCTGAAGCAGTGTCAGTATTTTGTCAACTACTTGCCGCTGCCCGTGGAGGGGGCACCCTGCCTTCTGAGGGCTCATGGTCTGGGGATCTTGCATCTGAAAATCAAGATTTCCCAAGTTGATGGGAGCCAGACACAGCTTCTTCTGTAATACCACCGCCCTGCCTTGTGTGGGGGTGATGTGGCCCCTTTGGCTCTCACTTCCCCTGACCCTTCTTGTCCATGACACACAAATGGAAATCCTCTGAAAGATTCCACAAACACGTTGGCTAAACAGATAAAAGGGTTGTCCCTTACCCCTCCCCTTCTTCCTGTCCTGACTGTGGATGAGATGCTGGAGCAGCAGCAGCCACTTTGCCACTGTGAGGCGCAGCTGGGCACGACAGCTTCGCTGAGATGGCAGGGGCATGAGAGCCAGAGCCAGGCCCTGATGGCTGCCAAGCTGCTCCACCATCTCCCAACACCTCACACGTACGTGAAACACATCTTGATTCCAGCCACTCTGTCTGGTTCTCTGCAATTTCAGTGACAAACATCTTCTTCGGTGCAGATTCCAAAGCTGCCCCTCGAGACCTGCTCCTTCTGCAGCCCAGCTCAGTCCTTGGCTCCTCCACTGTCCCAGATGCCAGAGACCCAGCCTCCCCTGGTCAGTGTTCCCGAGGGGCAGCTCCAGCCCCTTGGGACCTACCTCGTGAAGAGAGCTAACCCTAAACAGAGAGATGAGCAGGGGAACCAGTGGGACCACCCCTGCCCTCAGAACCTACGTCTGGGACAGGATGGGATGCCTGGCCTCACCCTCTGTGTACAGTCCTGTGGGTGGACACTAGAGGCTGGGACAGGACCACCTGGGATCTCAGGCTGCCCCCATGGCCCTTGATCTGAGGTCCTAGGAGGCAAGGTAAGGGGGGATCTGACCAGCAAAGACCTCAGGAGCCGCAGTGCTGGGTCCACAGAGCACCTGCCTGTTGAAAGTGGCCCCATTGTGCCCCTGGACATGGGGGAGGTGCTGCCCTGAGGGGTTCCTACTCACAGAGGGAGACTCCTCCACTCTAGCTCCACCGATCAGTGGGAGCCCCTAGGTGGGCACTGCCCTCCCTTCTCCCAGATCTGTCATGATCTGGACACATCTGGGGACCCCAGGGTGACCTGGCCGAGAGTGACCGGCCCATCACCCACAGGGTGCGGAGGTCCCTGGACTCAGAGCCCCCGAGTCTCTCCTGGAGCTGTGCCCATGAATTACCTCTCCTCGTCCGTGGAGGGCTGGGGCCAGTGGTCCCCTGCTGGGACTGCCGTCCAGCAGAGACGATGTTCGGGCAGAAGGACCGTGGCTGCTTTTTCCCTCAAGCCCAAGCCCCGATGCCCTCCTCCTCCCTGAAATAGAACTGCCTCCCAGCGAAGCCCAGACCAGCCTCCCTCCTCCAGGATGGCCCTTGGCCAACTCCCCGTAGGACACGGTGCACACTGACCAAGCCACGGGGAGCCCCTGGATGCGCCCAGGGGACCTGTAATGTCCTCCCTTTGCCCTCCGGCTGCTGTCTATGCTGGTCCCTGACCAGGGCTCCTGAGCCTTTGCGTGTGTTCTGCCCAGTCTCGTCTGCTCATCCTCTGAGCCCACTCCAGCGTCCCCTCCTCCGTGAAGCCCCCCTGCCCCTCCCAGCCCCAAGGACCTGAACAAGTTCTGGACACAGAGCGTGTCACCCTGAGCCAGCCTCAACTGGGTCTTTGGGGCCAAAATAGCCACGCTGTGCCTGGTTCTCCCTGAGGAGCGGCTACCTGACCACATTAACCTGACAGCTGCCCACGCTGGCGCCCAGGGGTAAATATAGCTCCAGGGCCATGTGCCACTTCCTGGCCTTGGGGGAAACCGTTTCTTCAAATTATACCCTTGAGGGCCGGAGACCCTGCAGACGGGGGCTCGGCCTCAGCCCGGCCCCACCCTGACAGACAGGCCTGGGCCCCGGGCAGCTCAGCATCGCCATTTTCTCTTCTCGGGACTGAGCCTTGCCATTTAGTCGGGGCTTTCCTGCAGGGACCTTGGGTGGCACCAACCTGTGAAGGCCGCCAGGACGTTCTGTTGGCAAGAAGTGAGCCACAGCTGACACTTTCCCTATGATTTGGCCCCAAGAGAATTCCCCCGCCAGCCCTGTGCCCACGGCGCCTGGCCTCGGGGCGACCCCAGCAGTGCTGTGTCCAGAGGGGGGTCATGTCTTCTGAGTCAGAAGGAACCAAGGAAGCCCTGGTCAGCAGACGCTGCCACAGGCCCGTCCGGTTACTCTCAGGCTGCGTCTGGAGAGACACAGCTACCGCGCAGCCTCCCAGGTCCACTCCAGGGCCCGGAGGCCAGAGTGTCTGGGCCGATCCTGCCTTCTCGGGGGGAGGAGCTCTGGGCGCCGCCTGGCCCTTCCTCTGTGGGCCCAACTGCCCAGCTGCCGTCCGAGAAGCAGCTTGGTGCCGGCAGTCGGAGTGAGGTCACCAGTCAGTGCTGCTGGCCTTCTGGGGTGTGGTGGGTCAGGACGGTCGATGTGCTGCACCTGGGTCCCCCTGCTCACCACCCACAGCCACGCCAGGGATACGGAGCACCACAGAGGGCGAGGATAAGCCTTGTCCCAGCCCAGCAAATCCGGGACCAGTTTCCCCCGAGTCCAGGGCCCCAGGGCCCCAGAGAGGACAAGGCTCAGCAGAGCCAGCCATGTACTTGGGGGCCCACCAGCACCCATAGGTTCCCCTGTCTCATGCCGGGTTCCCCACCAGGTAGTCTCCTTGCAGCCTCTGTCCCCAGCAGGGGCTTTGCCTGAGACACAGGGTCAGAGCGGAAGGAAAAGCGCTGGGAAGTGTGTCCTCAGCAGAGGACTTGTCCCTGCAGGCCGCCGAGCTGGAGACAGAGGCCAGGATGTCAGGCAGCCACACTGAGCTCTGTCCCCGATGCAGCTCAGGAGGGCCTGCTGGGCGCCCTGTGCCTACGGAGTCGGTCTCAGGTTTCTGCCCGGACTCCGCTTCTGTTGCCGACACATCTGTGTCTGCCTCTCTGTGCCCGCGTGTCCTGCCCTGTGTCCGGGGACCCTCAGCCGGCATCGCAGGCGCCTTGTCTTTCCCATGATGCTTTCCTCGGGCTCTCCTGCCCCGAGCGCTGTCTGGCCCAGTGGGCGCCCCTGCCTGGCTCCAGAGCCCCCCCCCCCCCCTTGTGTCTCCCTCTCTTCACCTCCCTCCGCATGTCCTGGGGCATTTCTGCTCTGTCTTTTCCTCTCTGCCTCTTCTCTCTCCAGCTCCATCCCCGTCCCTGTTTCTCTGGATTCACCTCTCTCTAGACCATTTCCCAGGGCAGTCCTGCGGCCTCTCTGTGTCTGGCCTCGGTCTGTCTCCCGGTCACCCTTGCTCCTCCTGAGCGCCCAGGGACAGGAGACAGGACAGAAAGCAGGTCACATTCACAGGTCGGGCGCAGCCCCGTCCCCAGCAGCGCGGGGACAGCGGATGTCGGAGGGCACTGCACAGCCCGGGCACCCGGGGTCACCCCCTCAAAGCTCCCACATGCTCCAGAAGCCGCCCCCGGAGCCGCCGCAGGAGAAACTTGGAGCTGACACCAAACAAATGGGGTGCAGGCTGGCAATTACCCAGCTAATTGCAGCAGTGCAGACAGACAAATCAGTTATTTCAGTTTCCCTACAAGCCCACCTCAGGGCCTGAATTAGCCACCTAATTAATTATCTGCAACAGCCTGGGGCTGGCTGGGTGGAGCAGGGATCCCTCCCGGTGCGGGGTGCTGCTTGTTCCTGAATCACGGCCCGGTGACGTAATCATTATAATTAGACTCAACCTGCAGCCGATCCTTGACCATGAAATCTCAGGGGATGTGGCCCCTGGCCAGGCCCAAATGTCTGTTCCTGTAATTTCTCCAGAAGGCAAGCCCACACATGGGCCCCTGTCCTGGGCACAGGGGCACTAGCCCCTCTGGGCAGCCCCTCATTCCTGGTGCCGGTGCCCACCTCAGCCAAAGCTCCCGGCCCCTCCTGATACAGCAGCAGCACCAAGAGGGTGGCCTTGTCATGCGGCACCTAACGCCAGGCTGTGAACGGCACCAGGTCAGGGTGCGGCCAGACAGCATCTGAGGGAGACATCGGTCACAGCCGTCAGGGGCTGGCTGCAGGTGCCCATCCCAGGAAAGTCCGGGCTGGGAGCATGGGATGGCCCCCCGGCCTGGCTGACCACAGCATCCTGTGCCAGCCTGGACCTCGGCCCACTCTCCACCCACTTCCTGGGCCGGGGTCTCTGGCCAGGAGGACAGCCTGGAGCCAAGGAGGCACTGGACGCCCTGTTACTAGGATTCGGCTGGGTTGGAAGGGGGTCCCCTCCCCGAAGACACAAGAGGTCGCACTGCCTCCATGGGGGGCTGGGCTCACAGCTGTCCTGGACTTGTCTCCTGTCTCTGTGCCCAGCCAGCCCCGGCCCCTGCGTGTCCTGCTGCCCCACCCCGGGTCCAGTGGCTGTGGCTCTGCTCACCCCTGGGGCCACAGACCCTGTGAGTCGGATTGTCCCTTGTGCCCCTGGAGCCCTCCCTGGGGTGTCCCCGCAAGGCTGATGGGGGTGCCGCTGCTCACTCAGCCTTGACCCCTGCGTCACCCTGGCCACTGAGGGTGCAGCTGGCCAGCAGCTGGGTGCAACATGCCCCCACCCCCTCTTCCTACCTCCCAGGGCCTGTTTCATCACGAACTCCATGACGCTGGCTTTGATTCCTCAGTGGCTCCTCAGAGGGTCTGAATTCACATGCAAGTGTGGCTGATCCTGTGCCTGGAAAAGAGGAGGTGGTCACAGGCCGCCCAGCCCTGCCTGCAAGGCTTCCTCCTCACCCTGCGCCCCCTTGCCCAGAGTGTGAGTCTTGGGGTCTGAGAGAGCATCATTCCCTGCACCCTGGCAGCGGAAGGGGGCACCTGGGAGGGCCCCTGGGTGGGGGGGCTTCCACCCCATACTCTGACCAGGTCCAGCAGGTCCCAGGACCCCACTGGATCTGCAAAGTGGCCTCCCCCAGCCCCTAGGATTTCTGGAGCAGGGACGGGAATGCCCACAACCTGGGAGGGACACTCAGAGAAGCCAGCCTGCAGGAAGCAGGGAGGCACAGGGGCATTTGAAGGTGACTGGCTCTGTTGCTTCCGTGGTGGGTCCTGGACCATGGAGGATGGGGTCCATCTAAGAAACAGGGTTAGGGTGGGTGGGGCCTGAGTGGGTGCCCCTTCAGGGAGGACCCTGCGGCTGCTGTTGGAGGAGTGTTGGGAGACCAGGCTCCATCCAGGGGAGAATCAGTGCCCACTGCCACCTGCCCACTGCCACCTGCCCACCAGAGATTGGGGTGGGACAACCAGCAGGGGCCCAGCCTTGGGGGAAGACCACCCCTCCACCTGCATCTGCATGGGTGGGGCGCTCCTGGGTCCAGGCCAGGTGGAACTCTGGTGGGAGGTACTTCCTATAAAACCTACATTTGCATTCCCACCCGCTCCCCAGGGGTCTCTCCTGCAGGGAAACCCAGGTCCCTGCAGAGCCAGTTTTTTCGTGCGTTTTTGAATCTCCTCTCTCTGAAGGAGACCCTTGCTGTGCGGGCAGGGGTGCGGGCAGGGGTGGTGGCGGGAGAGCCCCCCCCAAGCGCTGGCGCACAGGGGCGCCTTTGCCGCAAGCAGATGCTCTTCCAAACTTCTCCCCTGGCTCCTAAGGGAGAGGGAACCGCAGGGCCGAGCCGCAGAGAGGTCGGGGTGCTGCTGGAGCTCCCCCAGGGGCACGGGCCAGGCTCCCCTCGCCGCACCCCCTGGCTTTGCAGCGGGCGCGTTGCCCGGCTCTGCAGAGCGGCCCTCAGGCGGGAGCGCGCCAGCAGAGGAAAAGGAGACCGAGGACGAGGGAGGGCGAGGGGAGCCGCGAGGCAGGAGCAGAGAAGGAGCCGGAAAGAGGGAGGCGCGGGCCAGGACGGCGGCCGCCGCTTCAGCACCGCACCGGCGGACAGCGCCCGCCCGGCGAGCGCCCCGCTGGGCCAGGGCTGTGCGGCCGGGCTGGGCGGCCGCGCCGGGGCGCAGCGGGGTCGGGAGGGGTGGCCGGGGCGGGGGCCGAGCGCGGGGCGCCGGTTACCTTCCCGGGGCGGCGGTGCGGGCGGGCGGGCGGGCGGTCAGCGGCGGAGCGCGCTCGGGCCGACCGGATCCATGTGGCGCCCCAGGAACTGCGGCGGCGGCTGAAGGGCACGGCGAGGAGGGCGCGTCACATGGAGGCGCTCCCCGCCCCCCGCCCCCCGCGAGCATGACGAGGAGGGCGGGGCCGCGGCGCTCGGCGGGCGCTGTGGGGGCGGGAGCGGGAGCGGGAGCCGCGCCCCCGCCGCTCAACACGCTGCCCCGGGGCCGGAGTCAGGGTGACCGGGTTCGAGCCCCCCCGAGCCGCGCGCGCGACCCCGGCCTGCCCGGCAGCCCCGAATCTGTGCCCCTATCCGAACCCCTTGGGGTGCGCGGGAGGGGGCCGCCGCTCCCGCAGGGCTCCGCACCCCCTCGCCGGGTCACTTCGTGAGAGCGAGCGGGACCGACACGCTCGCAACCCTGGTGGGCAGAGTCCCTCGGCCTGGCGTGCGAGGGCCTGGGGCCGGGGTCGCCGCCCCTGCCCATTGCGCTCCGCCCAGGCGCACAGGGGAGGGGTTCCCGGCCGAGTGACCCCGACCTGCTGCCCTCGAGCCTCCTCCCACCACTGTGCGGGAGAAGGGAGCCCCGGACTCCTGAACCCCAGCCCACCCCTGGCGGGGGGACCTGAAGACCAGCCGACCGACATTTCGGTGAAATGTGACAGACCCTCCTCGGACAGTCGCACCGCGGACCGTCGGCCCCCGCCCCGGGGCCTCTGCAACAGAACCTGCGCTGTGGGGACAGCGGGGTCGCAGCAAGGTCACGGCTGGACTTCCTGCCCACTACCTGCCCAGGGCTCGGAGCCGGCTCTGCGGCCCAGCAGGGGCAGCCTGCGGGAGAGGTGCTGCGGGGAGGGCTGGGCTCTCGGGGTGGCTGCCCGGGCAGTGGGTGGACATCTCTGGTGGCCGCTGCATCAACTTGTCACCGTCCCCACAGGCTGAGTCATAAGGAGTCGCTGGGCCTGGGATGGAAGGGTGGATCCTGGAGCTGCCCCCCACCCTGCCGCACTGGTGGGGTGACCACTCCCTTTTCTCTGCTCAGCCTGAGCTGGGGAGGTCAGGGCCACATCACCGGTGTCCCTGTCAGCTTGGCCCCTCTGCTCCAGCTCCTCTCCTCTCTGACACCTCCAGGCCCGACTGTGGCCAGCAGTGGCCTGGCAGACCCTGAGCAGGGAGGAACGAGGGCATGGGAGGGGCATTTCCCACAGCTGTGTGGGTCCTGGTGGCCCTGGCAGAGGCCATGTCCCAGGACACAGCTGCAGGCTCCCAGGACCATGGAAGCTGGCCTGTTACAGTGTCACCTGGGTGTAGGCCAGGAGGTGCAGGGTAGGGGGTTGCCCAGAAGGGCGGGCCCGTGGACAGGACATAGGGCTCACTCCAGGGCTTCAGGGGGCCCCTCATCTGGACTGAATGACCCCCAAGAATGTGAGAAGCACAGTTGTTTCATTTCTTTATGAGAGGGTCAACGCCTCGGGCCTTGTGCAGGTCTGGGGACAGGTGCTCTGTGGTCACCAGTTTCCAGGTGTTTGAGGATTCCCAGCTAAGTTCTACCCCACTTGGTCCTTCTAGTGTCCTTGTCCCAGATGACCTGGGGATGACCCATAGCTGACATCCTGCCAACAACCCCACACAGGACCCCAGAGGTGACCCAGCTGCCCCCACAAGCCACCTGCAGAGACATTGAGTCTCCCTCTGGCTGAGTTAGAGCAGCCAGGCTGGGCAGGTGCAGCCCATCGGAACAGAAGCGGGCAGGGGTCCAGGCCCTGCGCTGGAGGCTACAGCCCCACTGAACCCACACGCAGCCCCGAGCCAGGGCTCGCGTGGCCGGGGACAGAGGCCCTCTGCTGGCTCCTGGATGCTGGCCGACCCTCTGTCTCTGTCTCCATCTCTGTGTCTTCTCCTCCCCCTCCCTGTGGGGTCGCCAGCTCTCCCCCTCTGCCATTACTCTGCACCGCTCTGTCCCGCGTCTCTGCCTCTGTCGCTCCTGGTCTCGCCCTCGCCACACACAGCGGCCCCTCAGTCCACATTTGCCGGGGCCCTGAGCTAAGGGTGAGTGGCCCACCAGGACTCAGACCCTCCCGGGGAGACAGACCAGGCTGCTGGCCGTTGGGTCAGCGATGGGTGCTCAGAAGGAGGAAGGCCAGGCGGCTGTGGAGGGCTGGAGGGCGGAGGTGAGGACATGACGCCCAGTGCCCAGCAACGGGCCGTCCCCTCCTCAGACTTCCACTGCTGCTGGCTGCACCGGCAGGACTGGACGTCCGGTGAGGGCCGGAAGAGCGTCCGGGGCTGGTGAGCAGGCCCAGCCCTGCAGCGGCTGAGGGGGTGGGGGAGATATGTGACGGCCTAGGACGGCCACGTGAGGGTGCACAGGCAGATGCAGCACCTGGTTGTGGCCTCTGTCCGGGTGGTATTGGTCCTAGAGGAGGTGGACGGTGGTGGGATGGGGAAGAAAATGGCCGGGGAGCCAGATGCGGGGAGGGTGTCCCACCAGGCGGTCAGCTCAGCGCCCTGACCGCTCTTCAAAGCACCACTTTCCTGGTCGGGCCAGCAAGCCAACCCAGAGCAGGACTGAGCTGAAGGAGGTGTGGCACGGCGTCTGAGACCCCTGCTGTCCACAAGCCCCGTCTGGACCCCCACGGTCACTCCAGACGGCAGCGAGAGGGGCTGCCCTGCTCCAGCCCCTTCACCGCCTCTCTGGGAGCCCCTGCTGGGCACCCCTCTGCTCCCTCCACAGAGGCCTGGCTGCTGCCAGCTGCCCACCTGTGCCCTGGCGTCCATCTCCAGGGCCCCTCCTTGGCCTGGAGGGAGCTGTCCTTCATGTCTGGCGTGGGGCTGGCAGGGAGCTGCAGGCCCTGCGGGGGGCCTGGAAGGGGTTCCTGGCACGCCCAGGGCTGGCCCAGAAACTTCAAATGTAAACAATAATTTAACAGACTGAGTGATTCAGCCCCCGGCTCGGGCATCACTCGGTGGCCACTATTACAACGGCTGTAACAGTGAGCAGCTGGGACATCACCGTGCTCATCAGAGCTGGGCTCCTTGTGCCTCCTTGATGCCGTGGCCCTTCCCTTGCCCCATGGGGACAAGAGTCCAGCTCCATGTCGGCCTGCGGTCCGGAGAGACCCGGGTTCGGTTCCCGCTAAGGGCACGTACTTCGGTTGCAGTTTGTCCCCGGCCCTGGTTGGTCGTGCGGGTGGCAGCCACTCGATGTGTCCCTCCACGTCGATGTTTCTCTCTCTCTCTCTCTCCCTCTCTCTCCCTCCCACTCCACCTGTACAAAAATTGGAAAAATGTCCTCAGGTGAGGATAAAAAATAAAATAAAATAAAAAAGAGTCCAGCTCCTGGGTCAGTGCCTGGAGCTCTCCTGTGGACTCAGGAGTGGAGCTGGGGTGCTGCCCCAGCCTGGGACGTCCAGCTTCATCCTCAGATCCTGTGTGGTCCTGGGGCGCCGAGACAGGTGCCGGGTCAGGTACCCTCTTCCTCAGTCCATTTCCACAGAGGCCCTGCCTCCCAGCTGCTCCTCAAGTTCCAGGGACAAGGGAGTCCCCTTGGTCCCTAAATAGGAAACCCGTGGCCCCCTCCCCCAGGAGCCAGTCCAGGCTCTGAGCTCAGGTCACAGTGGTGGCTCCACTCCTTTGCCCACCTCTGCTCAGCCTCAGGCCCCCCAGACTGCAGACGCCGCCACCCCTCCCTCACAGGGAGACCCACCGCTCCCTGCTCCCAGCCCCCACAGCTGGCAGAGCTGGTGGGGGTGTCGGCCTGGGAAGGAGCGACTTTCTGAGATCTCACAGGAGGGGGTGCAGAGCTTGAGGGGCCAAAGTAGGGATCGGGCAGCTGCCAGGCTTCCTGGGGGCCTGTGGCTCCCGCGCCAGCCCCCCACGGCCTTGGAGTCCACGCAGGCCTCCTCAGTGCTGCGTGGGTCGGGGCTGCAGAAGCCCTGGGGGCACAGGGGATCTCGGTCATGTGCAGAAGGTATGGGGGTGATGGGGGCGTGAAGCCCAGGCTGCCAGAGCGCCCTGCCACCTCACTGCAGACCCTGGCAGACTGGGCCCAGGTGCCCATGCCTTTCAGGGTCCCCTCTATAGCCATCAGCAAGGTAGACCCTGAAATGAGAGGGTGTCCAGGCCGAGCAAATGCCCTGGGGGCTGTCTAAGGCTTGGGAGACATCTGGTCACATTTGCTGGATTCTGTTGTTGACCCAAACCAGTGTCCAGCTGGGGGATCTGGGCCCCTAATTGTCTCTGGGATGGGTGGTCACTCCCTCTAACTGTTGACTCCCCCCACAGTGGGAGCTCCTGGAGCTGCAGAGCCCCCCATCCCCACCTTGGGACCTTTGTACACAGTCCCCTCTTCTGACCTCTGCTCTCCCACGAAGGGCAGGCTCAGCTCCGGGACACAGGACGGCCAGCGGCCAGCGTGCGTGAGGCACAGGAGGGCTGGTGGGGGAGCGGTGGAGGGTCTGGGCCCGGGTGTGCGCAGGGCTGCCTGCTGAGGGCTGTCCTCACAGGGGGTGGTCTGAGCTGTACAGTAGGGGTGACCGAGGCTGGCTCAGAGTTGGCTGCAAGGGGGAGCCTGGGCCCTCCGGGCTGTAAACTGTGTGGGTCAGGCCTGGACTCCTTCAGCCTGTGACCCTGACCCCGCAGGCACCGAGCTGGCCCTTGGGGTGGGCTCCAATGTGGGCATCCCGCAGGGAGGAGCACATGGTGCTGGCAGGGGCTGTCACCAGGGGCAGGTCCCCCTCCCTCCCCTCTGTGCCTCCCCCTCCTTCGGGCGACACCAGAGTGAGTCTGGCCCGTGGGGTGCTGCTGGGACTTTAGGCCTGTCTGCCCCCGGGGAAGGAGGCACAGGGCATGGCAGGCCTTCCTTGCACCCTGGCCCTTGACGGTGTCCTGGCCGTGCTCATGTCCAGGGAGGGGGGTGGCCCTGGTCTCACAGCTGGGAACCCAGTCCCTGCAGGGCTGTCCAGCAGGCCCAGCCGTGGTGTGGCCATGCCCTGGGGAGGGGGTGCAGGGACGGCTCCGATGCAGTGGGGCTCTGGGTCGGGGAGGTGCCCTCGGTCAGTGAGCGTCACACCACAGACACAGCAGGCCCAGCCGTGGTGTGGCCATGCCCTGGGGGGGGGGGGTGCAGGGACGGCTCCGATGCAGTGGGGCTATGGGTCCGGGGAGGTGCCCTCGGTCAGTGAGCGTCACACCACAGACACAGCAGGCCCAGCCGTGGTGTGGCCATGCCCTGGGGAGGGGGTGCAGGGACGGCTCCGATGCAGTGGGGCTATGGGTCCGGGGAGGTGCCCTCGGTCAGTGAGCGTCACACCACAGACACAGCAGGCCCGGACAGCCGCAAGCCCGTTTATTGGCTCAGCTCGGGGAAGTGGACGGCCCGGCCCCGCCCGCCAGGAGGGAAGCAGAGTGTCTCTGGAGCCTGAGGCACACACCACCGTCGTCCCCTCCACCCAGAGGCAGGAGAACGGTGTTCAGGTGCTGTTCTGGGTGCTTGGCGGTGGCTCTGTGGCTCTGAGGAAGGACAAGCTGTGCTCTGACAAAGCTTATGCTCCAGGAGACTAGGAAACAGCAGGTGCCACACGGAGTCACAGCCAAGCGAGTGACAGAGACCCGGGGCTGTGTCAGGGGCCAGCCCAGGCCTTGGGACAGCTGGGCTTCAGGCTTGGTGCACCCAGACAAGTCCTGAGCCCGGTGTGGGGCAGGTCCCACACAGCGGCCCCAGCTGGGCACACAGCGTGCTGAGGTGCCCGTCGACCTGGGCACTCAAGTCCTGGGTGGTCAGGGTCACGTACACCCAGGTCCATGGGGGCACCCCCTCCCCAGGAGGGCGAGGCTGGGTAAAGCCGAGACTTCATCCGGGAGGAAGAGGTGATCCTAGGAGTCACACCATCATTACAGAAAAGCAAAAATGAAGGTGTCCCCAACCTCAGGAGCAGGCGCCTCCCCCAGAGAGAACCGGTAAGTACTGACGGAAGCTGTCAGCCTCACGGTGGACGTGAGGGGAACGGGGCAGGAGGGGCTGGCACGGACCCGTGTGGGACGCAGCACGGGGTCTGCCTTGATCCAGGACAGCCACTGCCTGGGCCCGGCCAAAAGGACGGCCTGGGGCCAGCCCTGGGCCTGGCTGTGGGTGTGGAGCCCACTCCTCCCCTCCCCCAGGCATCCGATGTTCAGCCTCCTGCCCAATCTGTCCTGGGACCCTGGCTCTGGAGAAATGATGCAGCCCAGGCCCTGGCCCAACCCCAGGCAGGTCAGGTTCCCGGAGCCCTACCCATGTCTGTCCACCCTACACAGCCTCCTCCCAATCTACCTGGCCTGAGTGCAGGGGCCAGCCCCTCACTGACCACTGTCCTGACTGCTGGGCTCATCTCCCTGCCTAAGGGGGCCCTCCTCCTCCCCAACACCCCTCCCGCCCCTCCCTGCCCCTCTCCTGCTGCCCTGCACAGCATATGCTCCGTGAGGACACCAGGGGCCTTGCTCAGCTGCTGCTCCTGTTCTGGTTGGAACAGGTCTCTAAATAGACAAAGGAGGGTAAAATGGACAGGTAGGGGCTAAAGATGGACAGATGGGAACAGGGTGGACAGGTGGGGGGCAAAGATGGACAGATGGGGGCAGGGTGGACAGGTGGGGGCTAAAGATGGACAGGTGGGGGCAGGGTGGACAGGTGGGGGGCAAAGATGGACAGATGGGGGCAGGGTGGACAGGTGGGGGGCAAAGATGGACAGGTGGGGGGCAAAGATGGACAGGTGGGGGCAGGGTGGACAGGTGGGGAGCAAAGATGGACAGGTGGGGGCAGGGTGGACAGGTGGGGAGCAAAGATGGACAGGTGGGGGCAGGGTGGACAGGTAAGGAATAGGGTGGATGGGGGATAGGGGTGCAGAGCCAGGCTGGACAGTCTGGGGCTCATCTTGTGGGCGCACATCCTTAGGGGCAGGGCTGGAGTTGTGTTTGGGCCAGAGAAGGACCACCCAGCCCAGATGCCCGGGCAGCCCAGGTCAGGGCTTGCTCCGGAAGGGCTTGGGCACCCAGTGGGGCAGGGGCCCTGGTCAGGAAAGGCTGTGTTCATGGCTGGAAGCTGGGCTGGGGCCCTGGGGATGGAGGCTGGGCCCCTGCTGCCCGGTGCAAGGGCGGGCTGGACAGAGGCGGACCGGCCCAGGCCCCAGGTGTGGAGCTGGGCTCCCTGGCGAAAGGCTTGGAGGTCCCCTGCGGGGTCTGGTCAGGCAGCAGGAAGAGCGGGGGCCCCACCAGCCGCATTGCCACATTCTGAAGGGTGCTCCTGCTCTGCTGGAGGTCCCTTTGGGGCGGGGAGTGCTCACCAGGAAGGCTGTGCGGGGTGTCCGCTCTGGGAGGAACACCCGGTGCCCAGACTGTTCCCAGGGTTAGAGCACCCAGCTCACACCACCCGAGGCCACCCATCCCTGCAGGACGGGACCCAGAACCCCGCCGACCACTTGTGGTTCTGCTTGGGCGATGGTGGGCGCAGAGGCTGGTGGTGCCCGTAGGGGGCGCACAGGCCCCGGGGCCTGGAAACAAGCACCACGGCCCACGGCAGCCACAGGCAAACAGCCAGCGCCCACTCCTGACCGGGAACAGACCGTGTATGTCCAAGCAGCTGGGAGGAGAAACCAGGTCCTCACACACGGGCTGCGTGAAGCCTGGGAACCCGCCTGCCCACTGAGCCCGCCCTCGCTCCCTCTCCTCTGCCCTGGGAGCCCCGGTGCCCTCCACCTACGGGAGGGGCCTGCCCTGGGCCCCCCGCCCAGGGAGCAGCGTGGCAGGACTTCCTTCTGCCAAGACACTGCCCAGCACTCCCGCCGCCAGGGGCTCAGGCCTGAGCGTGCGGGTGGGGGTGCACACGGGGCCTCGATCCTCACAGATCAAACACCAGGTGTGTGTTTTGAATTCCCTGAACACCGGGCGCCCCCACACTCTTGCTCCGAAGGGGGACCCAGTGGACACGGGGCTCTCCAGTCTCACAGGGGCCAGCGTCTGGAGGGGCAGTGACCACGGCTGCCCAGTGCCCACGGCCCGGGCCACCAGGACCCAAAGATATAGTGGGCCGCTGGCCCCATCCCACCCGTCTCCTGCCCGTGACCACCCAGCCCGGCTGCCCTGGGGCCCGAGGAGGCTCAAGGCAGTGACCAGCACCCCAACCCTGCAGCACATGGGTCCCTGTGCTGCGTGTCCAGGGTCCGAGCCAAGAGCAGCCGGGTGACGGCATCAGCGAGGCAGGACTGCTGCAGACGGCGTCATCAGAAAATAGTTTAATATGTACAAGCGGCCTCCAGGCTGGTCACGCCCGGGACACAGGATGTCTGAGGGGTCAGGAGAGGACGGTGCGCACTCCACCCCAAGAGGGGGCGCGCTCTTGGGGGGCGGCCATCGAACAGAACAAATCACAAACCGTGACGATTGTGGGGGGAATGTGACAACACTTTCCTTTGGGAAAAAGAAAAGGAAAAGCGAAAACCAAGAGGCTCGGGGATGCTCTCCTCTTGCCAGGCAGCTCTGGTCCGCTGGGGAGGGCAGGCCATTGGGGTGCAGCCGCGTCGGTCACGGCCACGGCCATGGAGGAGGCTCTCCTGCTCGAGCCCAGCAGCTCCTGGTTCCACGTGCAGCTGTGACCTTGAGAGCTCAGAAGAGGGGCCGGGCACCCTGGCTTTCAAACTCGGACCAGGCGTCGCTCAGCTCCATGAAGATCATCCTGGCCTGCTGCTCGTACGGCTGCCCCACGGCCTGAGGGGCGAGAGGTGAGGATGGCCTCATGCCTGCTCCCGGAACCCCGCCCGGCGCTCACTGCCCCCAGGTGGACCCCGTCCGGCGCTCACCTTGTCGGGGTGGACCACCAGCACGGCCCGGCGATACTGCTTCTTCACCTGCTCGGGGGTCACCAGGTCGGCCATGCCCACGGGCGTCCAGCGGCTCTCGCCGTCCCACAGCACGGTGTGCAGGGTGGACAGCAGGGCGCGTATGTTCCTCTCCTTGCCCTCGGTCCAGTCCAGGAGCTGCAGGTGACACAGAGCAGGAGTCCTGGCCACAGCCCTCCCTGCCCCGCGGTGCTGCTGGTGGTCACGGTGGCTCCACGTGCCGTCCGTCAGACCGAGCAGCTCCAACGACCAGGACGCGCCAGGCCTGCCGTCCCACTGTCTGTGCTCACCGACCAGGCACGGTCAACGCCGCCCCCAGGTCTGGCTGGACACCGCACAGGACCAGACGGCACACATTCTGCTGCTCACTCAGGGCAGAGGCAGACACACCCACAGTGCTGGGAGAGCCTCGGTCAGCCCAGGGGTACCCTACCCCGCTGCACCCCGGGCCGCAGCACACCTTCAGCTTGAGCGGGTCCGTGTCCCTCGCCTGTCCCTGTCTCCTCATCTCGGCGATGGTCCTGGGCCCCTTCCTGTCGGCCCTGGAGGAGAAGCCCTGCTTGGACAGCAGGTCCTCAAAGTGGTCCTCAGACACCCGCGGCTTTTGACCTGGAGGAGAAGAGTCCACTGAGACACCAGGGCCCCACGGACCTCCCTGCCCACCCCCAGGACACTGTTTCCAGCTCGATGACCCTTTGGGACCAAGGTCAGCTGAAAGGAGAGGGAAACTCCCAGAAGGGCTCTGTGGGCACAAACAGCCCTGAGCTCAGGCAGCCTGCCCCTCCTGGGCTGACGGGGGTGTGCCGTCCCCGTGACGGCATCACAGCCAGGCCTGGGCTACTGTCCAGCTGCCCGGGCAACTGAGGAGGCCGAGCCAGTTCCCGGACGTGCTGGTCTGGGGATGAGAGACACCCACAGATACCCATCTGCACAATGTCCTCCCCACAAACACGGCTACTGTGGGTGAAGGGCACTGGGTCTCAAGGAGAAGCATTCCCAGGAGAAAACCACACATGGAGGGAAAGAGGGCGGACTCACCAAAGCTGGGGAGACGAACACCCCGCTCCTCTCGGCCGCCGATCACGCTGAAGTTTGTGGCGTAGTTAGGCCGTGGCTGCGCAGAGGTTTTGGGGGGCAGCTTGGTTTGGGAGGCCCATGGGGCACCCTGGACCGGGGGCCGACTTGTCTGCCAGGAGCTGGCGCCCTTGGGAGGAGGGGCAGCTTTGGGACCAAAGCCTCCAGGAGCGAATCCACCGGGAGAGCCTAGGAATACGGGGGGGGGCTTGTTAACAACACTGAAGGCCGCGGGTCCCTGAGGGCTGTGGACGGGGCATCTCAGGGACGCACGTGCTGGAACCTGCACCTGCAGAACCAGCAGCACAGCCAGACGTCAGCACGGGCCCCACAGAGCTGCCGCCCCACCCGGGTGATGGGGCGCAGTCCCAAGGGCGGGGGACCAGCGTGGGCACTGCCTCCCCGGGTTAAGGATGCAGGGCTGCTTCCTTTGCCTCCTTTGGAAACAGACTCAGGAAGCTGTACAAGCAGAGCCCCGAGCCCGGCCCGGCGCACACATGTGCACACGTGTGCACAGCTGTGACACTCCGTGTGTACACACTTGTGTGCTCTCCATCCCGATGGCTCATCTCACTGCTCTGAAGTGGCCCGGACTGCAGGTGACCGCGCCGCTCTCCCCACTCAGCACCACTTCGCACTGCTGGCAGCACTTCCGGGGGCACACTCGGCCCGTGCGGGGGCGGGGCGGTCACAGCCGCAGCTGCGGACACTCGGCACAGGGCTGCACACGCCCCCTTTCCTCTGGACAAACGGCAGCTGCGTCTCCTCGGGTCAGAAGCTGACCCAGTCTCACTGCCCACCGGCCTCAGGTGGAGCCGCTTCTCCGCCCACGGTTCCTGAGGGCTGACGGCCATCGAGGTCCCTGGCGTCCACCTGAGGGCGAGTGGCGCCAGCATCCTTCAGGGCTTGTTGGCGAGGCCCCCGTGCGGGGCATCATCACGACTCAGGCTGCCCGGTGGATTCGCTCCCTCCAAGGGCAGCAGCTCCAGGCAGACAAGTCAGCCCGGGCCCCGGGTGCCCCATGGGCCCCTCAGGCCAAGCCATCCCCCAAAACCTGTGCACAGCCAAGGCCTAACTATGCCACGAACTTCAGTGTGATGGGCTGCTGCATCTGACGGGCAGCAGGTCCTCGTGGGGTGCTGGACGCAGAACTTCGCCCTGGCTCACGCCCAGAGCACAGCTGGCCAGTCCACATTACCCCATAGCCAGTCACAGACCCCACAACACTGAGGACTCAGTCGCCCACGCCCAGGGGGTGAGCTCCGTGGGGCCGGACGTACTTTCCAGACCTGCACTTTGGCAGGCAGGAGACAGTTCTGATCAAGCCCCACTTAGTTCTGTCGTGGCTGTGACACCCCGGCCCGAGGCCCAAGGCTGCTCTCTCCCCGGGCTGCGCACTGCACGCCACCCGCAGCCCGTCCTGCGCCCGTGAGGGCTGGAGCTCAGGTGAGGTGGCTCTGCCGTCTGCAGACGGATGCCCAGTGCTGCAGCCCCAGCTGCAAGTGGTCCCGGTTCTGCCAGAGCCCAGCTGGTCTCACTCAGGGGAGTCATTTCTGGGTCCTACTCTTCGCTTGCCGTGTGTCCTGCCAACCACGCAGTCCTCATGTCGGCGGCTACAGAGTGAGCCTAAAGCCAGGCACGCCATCCCTTCCACGTTCCTCTGCTCCCACAAATCGCCCCAGCCGTTCCAACTCGGACTTTCCGGGGAGTGGGCAGCGAGCTTGTCCGTGCCCACAAAGCCCTCCCTGGACTGTAGTGGGGACTGCGCTGGACCCCCGAGCTGGGGACTAACAGCTGCAGCCGTCTCCCCCACGCAGCCGTGTGGCTCCAGCAGACACGTCCCGTCAGGGTCGCCCTGTGCTCTCCTCTCACGACGCGCACGGCTGGGTCCCGTGCTGCTGCCGTCACCAGGCGGGTGCTCGTCGGTGGATCGGACGGTGTTCGGAGACTCCCCAACACCCACCATGTAACAAGCTGCCACCCACGGCGGACAGTGTTCCTTCCCCTTCGTATGTGTGCAGGGCTCCCCTCCCGTCGCCTGCCTCTGTGCAAGCTGGACCCCAGGGAGGAGGGGGAGAGGGCGCGCTGCCCAGACTCTGCCCTCGGGGTACAGGCCTCCACCTACTGCCAAGCTGATGCTGTTCTCCTCCCGTCACGAGCTGAGTGCCTCGTTAGCAGGTGCCATCTCTGCGCCGGGGACGAGATGGGGGGTGGCCTCTGTCAGCGGGTCTGGGACGCCGACCAGCCTGGGCCCTGAAGAAGCCCACTGTGTGACGCGTAGTTCTCTTTGAGTACAGATGGACTCTACTCGCCAATACTGTTGTGGATGTTTGCATCTATGTTCACAGGAACACTGCCTTGTAGTTTTCTCTTTCAGACAGTCTGTTTGGTTTCTGGTATTAGGGTGATTTTAGCTTCACAAACTCAACTGGAAATGTTCCCACCTCTTCCCATTTCCCGGAAGAGATTACGTGAAATGGTGTAAATTATTTAAACGTCTGATAAAATTCTACAATGAGCCAGGCCGGTGTGGCTCAGCGGTTGAGCGTTGACCGTGCACCAAGAGGTCCCTGTTTTGATTCCTGGTCAGGATACATGACGGGATTGTGGGCCTGATCCCCAGTAGGGGGCGTGCAGGAGGCGGCCCATCGATGTTCTCTCTCATCGATGTTTCCATCTCTCTCTAAAACCAATAAAGGAAAAACAAACTCTGCAATGAAACCACCTGGGACTGGAGATTTCCTCTGGGGGAGGCTTTCCCAGCCGCAGTGCTAGACCGACGGCACGAGGCCTGGACACTGAGCTCGGGGGACACGGGAGGATCTGCCCACTCACGCCTGCCCCCACGCCTGGCAGCGGAGACCCGCCTCCCTGCAGCCCTCACAGCTGTAGCGACGCCCGCGTTGGCCAGAGGCGTCTCGGCAGAGCATGTCCACGGTACCCATCTGTCCAGAAAGCTAGTCTTCGTTCACTCACTTCCTGCTGCTTTGGTTTCTAGTTCGCTGATTTGGGCTCTCATCTCCTTCCTCCTGCTGCTGGCTCTCCCTCCAGGTGTCAGGGCTGCAGGTGACGGGACTCCCCTCCTCAGCGGGCAGCGTGCACCACATCTCGTATTTCCACCTTCCCGCACCCGACAAGCCACCTCCCTGACATTCCGAGACCACCTGTGTGCTGCTTGTGAGGGTTTGGTTTCCCGTTCCAAGGTCTCCAGTCACCGGCTCCTCCTGACTCCATGTGGTCAGAGCAGGACATTGGTCTATGGCCTCTGTCCTTTCCCAGGGGCACAGGTCTGCTCCCGCCCAGGACACGGGCCCGCAGTGGAGGCTCTGCGGTATGAGGACGTGTCTCTGGGCAGCTGGCGCAGGTCTGTCCCGCTCGCGGACTGTCGCGTCATCACTGTACCTGGTGAAGTGGGTGCCCAGCCTCCAGCACAGTCTGCGTCTCTCTGCTTCTCTCACCTCAGCTTCATTCACACCCTGGTTCCCAGGGGCGAGATGGAGGGTCCTGGATGTCTGTGCAGAGCTGAGGGCCGGGCTCCATCCTGACACATCCCCCCCACAGCCAGGACCTGGGCCCACAGCCCAGGCAGCACCAGGAGGCCCCAGGCGGCCCCCCGCACTCAGATGGCCTGAGACAGAGGCCACGCAGGGATGGGGTCCCAGACACACCCAACTTCCAGGAATGCCCGAGAGACAGCAACCTCAAACTCCAGGACGCTGCTAACAGAAGGGAAGCCCCTGAGGACTCAACATGGCGGCAGCGTCCACGCACACGAGGTGGGCCGGCAGGGGCACCGCAGCGGGACCGAGCGTGGCTGGAGGCAGAGGGGGTCAGGAGGCAGCGGAGGGCAGCAGGGACCCCCAGTGCTGAGGACCCTTGACCAAAGGCTCACGGGGAACCAGCGGGCTCCAGAGAGTGGCCCTTACGCTCCAGCTGGGGAGACGCCAGCCAAGGGCCACACACCAGACCACCCCAAACAAGTGCTCAGGGAGACGCTGTTTCCAACCAGTTCCTCACGCCACCTGACTGCCAAGGGAGGACAGACACACAGACACTCGTAGTCTCTGAACACTGCTTGCCCACACGCTGAGGAGCCACGGGGACCCCAGGGGCACACATCCCAGGGCATCGGGTCAGCTCCGAGGCCAACAGAGGCAGGCGTGACACAAAGCCCACACGGAGCCCCTGCTCCTCAGACGGCCCAGCACTGAGGCCATGGGGCCAGGCCCGGCCCAGCGCCTGCTGGTGGCAGCTGTCAGCCGGCCCTGCGACGGGTGGACAGGCTGCACCCTGTCCCTGTGCCCTGGGCCTCCGTGGATGGAGGTGAAGGTCCCATCGGGGGCGCCCGAGTCTGGCAGAGGGTGCAGGCCAGGGGACAGGCGGCCTGAGCCCTCCTACGAGCAGGCGCCACACACCCAGCACACCCTGCGGTTACCTTGGAGGCTGGAACTGAGGTCGCCCAGGTCTGCAAACGGGTCCAGGGTCTGGGACTTGACACGGCTGCCTGGGGCGCTGGGAGGGCCTGGCTGGCTTCCAGAAGAAAAGGGGCCTGGAGAAGGACAGGCCATTAAAGCAGGGGCCACTGAAGGGAGGTGCAGCCCTGCCCTGCGGCCTGATGCTCCAGGGGGCCGTGTGGCTGAGGCAGGAGCGCCAGCCCAGGGCCCGGCCGTCCCGGCCAGCGTGGCCCCCAGTGCCCTGTGCTGCTCCTTCAGAAGATGCCCAGGGAAGCCATGTCCTGGCTCTGTGACAGCACTTAGTGTGATGTGCTTTGTAATATTCTTTTTTAACTTTGTTATTGTTGACACTATTATACAAATGTGTCCCCCCCCCCCCCCCCCGCGCCTCACCTCCACCCGGTCCCCACCCCCTTTCCCTCTGGCCATCACTACACTGCTGTCTGTCCGCTGGCCATGCACATGTTCTCCGGCTAATCCCTCACCTTTTACCCAGTCACCCCCATTCCTCTCTCCCCTGACAGCTGCCAGTCTGTTTTCTGTGTCTATGAGTCTGGTTCTATTTTGTTGTTTACTTTGTAAATTATATTCCACATATGAATGAAATCATGTGGTATTTGTCTTTCTCTGACTGGCTCATTTTACTTAGCATAATGCTCTCCAGGTCCTTCCGTGCCATCTCAAAGGATAAGAGATCTTTCTTTCTTACAGCTGCATAGTACTTCATTGTGTACATGTACCACAGCTTTTTTATCCATTCGTCTACTGATGGACATTTGGGCTGTTTCCAGATCTTAGCTATTGTAAATAGTGCTATGAACATGGGGGTACATATATTCTTTCTGATTGGTGTTTCAGGCTTCTTAGGGTATATTCCTAGAAGTGGGATCACTGGATCAAATGGAAGTTCAATTTTTAACTTTTTGAGGTAACACCATCCTGTTTTCCATAGTGGCTGCACCAGTCTGCATTCCCACCAGCAGTGTACTAGAGTCCCCTTTCCTCCACACCCTCGCCAACACTTGTTGTTTGATGATTTGTTGATGGAGGCCATTCTGACAGGTGTGATACCTCACAGTCATTTTAATTTGCATCTCTCTGATAATTCGTGACACTGCGCATTTTTTCACATGTCTCTTGGTCATCTGTATATCCTCTTTGAGAAATGTCTATTCAGGTCCTTCACCCATTTTTTTGGGTTAATTCCACCCGAGAATATTTTTTTCATTGATTTTTTTTAGAGACTAGAAGGGAGGAGTTGAAGGGGAGAGAGAGACATATTGAGTGGTTGCCTCCTGCATGCACCCCAATTGGGGGCCAGGAGCTAACCTGCAACTCAGGCACACGCCCTTGACTGGAAATAAACCCATGACCCTCTTGTGCGTGGGCAGATGCTGTAACCACTGGGCCACACGGGCCAGGGTGCCCATTTTTTAATTGGATTGACTGTCTTCAAGTGTTGCATTAGGTGGTTCCCTTATATTCTCTGGAAATTAACTCTTCCCAGACCATCACTGGCGAACTTGTCCGCCACACAGAGGTTTCCTGTCCCTCGGCTGATGCGAACACTCTACAGAACACTGCCAGTCTGAGACCACGTGAGTGTCAGAGACGGAGACCCCTGGGCGGGCCGTGCACACCCCTCACCAGGGGCGACCGTCGTCGCGATGACGGCTGCTCTGCAGGAAGGGCCCTGTGACAGGCAGAGGTGGGCTTGCAAAGACGCCAGAGCACACGAGGCAGTTCTCCACAGAAACGCCAGCCTCACGTCTAGTCATGTAATGCAAATTAGAATAACTGATGGCCTAACGAACTGGGAAGATAATATCTTTAGTTACCACCCAACTTCGTGGGAACCCGAGGCTGGGCCGGGCTCCTGGGCGACCAGTTATGAGAAGGTCCCAGAGGGCACCTGTCACAGGCCTCGTCAACACAACCGCCTCTGATGGCACGAGGACATTTCCCAGCAGGACAGGCACAGGGCATGAGGAGCAGACGGCCGCCAGTGGAGCGCGGCCTCAGAGGCACGGCAGCCAGGACCCTGGGACACGTGACGGGAGAAACGTCAGCCCTGGACTGCGTCACCCACAGACCAGGAGACGAGGAAGGGACCAGGCGGAGGGCACCTGTGCGCACCTACCAGGGATGGGGTGGGACAGGAGAGAAGGCAGGAAACCCCACAAAAGCCCTGGGGGGCCAACCAGGGTGAGGGTCCTGTGCCCACCGGCCTCACTCCTCTCTGCTGGGAGGGTTACGGTCATGTCACGGTGACGCGGAGAGACGGGCAAGACCCTACCTTCTGCAGCCGGTGTGGGGGCCGGCGCCTCGGCCCAGGTGTCCCATCCTCCCAGCAGGTCCGGATGGCTGGCTGAGGCAGTCATCTTGCTGGGCTCTTCTGATGCACCCCCTGGAAGAGAGCAGCACCATCTGTGTGTCCCTGCTGGGGGGCAGGCCGTGGCCTTCACAGGGCCTCTTGGGGGCCGAGGGGACAGGTGGGCCACAGCCCATCCACATCCTACCCCTGCTGGCTGTGAGCAGGAGGCAGAGGACGCCATCCAGGCAGCTGGCCAAGGCGTCCCGGCCAAGTGTCCTCAGCGGGGGCATACTGAGCGCTGGGCTCAGCAGACACTGAGCAGCCTCCCATCCTCACAGGCCAAGGACACAGCACGGGTCACTGAGTGGCGAAGTGGACAGGTGACCAGTGGAGACACTCCCAGGACCACGGTGCACATCACTCCTCCCGCAGGCGGCCCCCACTCACAGCTGCACACAGCACCCCCAGAACCTCCTCCACCCCCCCAAAACCTAGCAGAGCATGAGGGTGGACAGTAGCCCACCAGTCATCTTGCAGGGAGGGAGGACGCCTCCACCCCACCACCCCACCCCCGACCCACTCACCCAGTTGCCGGAAGGCGGGGCTGCAGGCAGGGGGTGGGGCACTGTGGGTGGAGGGGAAGGATGCAGACGGGGGCGCCAGAGAGTCTGAGTTAAGAAATTCACCAAAGAGGTCAGGCCTGGAGCAGGGCTGAGCGTCTGGATCGGATGTTAGCAGGAGAGGGTCAAATGGGTCGGCTGCAGAAAGACACCCAAGGAGCAGGTGGACATGAGGTGCTTTGCAGGCCTGAGCCCAGGGCACAGGGCACTGCCTAGCCACCCACCCGACACCGGGACAGACCTCAGACCCAGGACGACCCGACACCGAGAACCAGCACGTCCTCAGCCCTGGCACTCTGGGACAGGAGCTCAGGACAGGCCCCCTGCCAGCCAGGCCTGGCTGCTGCCCCACCCGTCCACTCTCTGCTCCGCCCAGGTCACGGCCACGGTGCCCTTCTCACTGCTCACACCTACCGGCCGTCGTGGGCCCCCTTGTGGTGGAGGCAGAGCTTGTGAAGAGCAGGGGGGTCTCCCCACTGAGGAGATCGCCTGGGGGACCCTCAGGAGCAGCCTCAGGGGCCCCCATGAGGCAGCTGAGCAGGTCAGCATTGCTGGGGGGGCCCCCGGGAGCCTGTGCAGGGGGTGCTGGCCCCGCTTCCGAGTGCAGCCCCAGGAGGTCGACACCCTCCTCTGGTGGCCGAGGCTCCTGCGGTGAGGCCCGCGTGTCTGCATCAAGCATCAACTCTTGCTCTTGAGCCTTGGCTGCCAGGCCAGGCGAGTCCTCGTCGGCCACGTCCCTGCTCCCAGCAGAGAGCGTTGCTGCGTCCTCGTCCGATGGCTCGCTCTCGCCCGCGTCCTCGGCCGGGGCGGGGGGAGTCTCCAAGGTGCTTTCTGCGCCCGCCTCCAAGTCTCTCTCCTCTGAAAAGAAAGCGGCACGCTGACGGGCTGGAGTCGCCGCAGACGGACGGTGGGGAGAGGCCAGGCGCAGGCCGGGGAAGCAGAGACACTCGCCTGCGCGAGGGCGCTGGGCGTGGCCCACAGTGCCTACCGTGCCAGTCCAGCGTGTGGAGAAAGTGGTTGGTCTCGGTGCTGCTGCTCTGCGGGGACTCGGACTCCGTGGGCTCCGTGTCCGGAGAGCCCGTCTCGGCGCCGTACTGTGCGGTGGAGCCCGGCTGCCGGGGCAGCTCCGGCTTCCCTGCCAGGGAGAGGAGGGCGTCAGCACCGCCAGGACACGCCGCCCTGCAGCCGCCAGCCGCCAGCTCCGGGACCCTGCACTGACCGCCGCCGGCCCAGGACAGGCTGCCCTGCAGCCGCCGGCCGCCAGCTCTGGACGCCGGGACCCTGCACTGACCGCCGCCGGCCCAGGACACGCTGCCCTGCAGCCGCCGGCCGCCAGCTCTGGACGCCGGGACCCTGCACTGACCGCCGCCGGCCCAGCCTCTGCACCATCCCAGTGCAGGTTCAGACACTGGCCTGGCCACACAGCCACACAGCCCACATGTGCACACACGCACCTATGCACACGTGCTTGTGCACACACATGCACATGCTTGCGCAGCACACCACCGCACACACACGCACATGCTTCTCAGGGGTACTTAGCTGTCTTCACGTAAGAAAATGTAAAAAATGCAACCGAGAACATGAAGACAACTGTGATGTGGCCAGCAGATGGAATCACAAGTCCTACCGGCCTGTGTACTTTTTATGCTACTTTTTTAGTAACTGTTCTGAAATAAGAAGATGAGACAACGGAGCTGAGTGACGGGGTTGCCGAGAAGACCAGGTGTGCTGGTGGCCGAGCGGCGCAGGGCGCAGGGCGCAGGGACACCCGCTCCCGCAGACAAGCCGGCACAGCAGACGCGGCAGAGGCCCCGCGTGGGCGTCGCGGGCAGGGCTGCCCTAAAAGCATGAGCCTCCCTGAGCCCACAGGCGGCCTGACCCTGAGGCTTCCCAACGAGCATGCTGACGGCAGAACAAGACCTCACCAAATTTAGACAGGATGTCCTGCTGCTCCTCCCGACTGGAAAAGAGGATTTTGGGGTTCAGCCCCCTCATGCTTGTGCTCTCCCAGGGCGGAGCCTCCCGGCTGGGCCTGTCTCGGGGCTCCACCTCCACGTCCAGGTTCACCTGGAACAGATCCGGGTACTTCTCCTGAATGTCGCACGCGTCCAGGTCGTACCTGCAGGGGGAGGCCACACTGGTCAGGGAGCAGCGTGAGCAGCTGCACAGGTCGCCCCACAGCCCCAGGGAACAAGCACAGAACAGTGCAGGCGATGGGGAGTCGGGCGTCCGCCCTCTGGCCCTACCAGTCATGCCGGCCAGGGGTCTGTGCGTCGTACGCACGCACCCCTCAGAGCAGCACCCCAGCTGGCCAGGGGAGCACTGGGCCGGCCCTCATCCCTTGGGTACTGGGCTGAGGTCAGGCCACCTGAGACAGTAAATGTGTTTCCGTGAAAGTCCACCCTGGCCAAAGTCCCCAGCGGCTAACGGGAGCCCATGAGATGGAGACCCCTGCAGCCCCGACGGGGGCGAGCAGCACTCGTCCGACCACCTGCCGCCCTGCTGGGAGGGGAAGGGGAGGCAGGGAGCCCAAGACTCTGGTCTCCAAGAGCTACAGGGGGCAGAGCCTGGGTCAGGGCACAGCGGGGTCCAGCGCGTCAGGGCGAGCTGGCAACGGCACGGTCGCGGACGGACCTGGCCTGTGGCCTGCATCTCTCTGGGGCGCCAGCAGCTCACAGACTCGTGGGGACAGACCCAGCTCTCCAGCGGCAGTGAGATGACAGAAGGCGGCGGCAGGTCCCTGAGACCAGAGGTGTCGAGGAAGGGACCCTGCTGTCCGCGGGGCATCCACCCAAAACAAACCACGACCACCAGGCACAGGAGGGGCCGCAAAGACACCCACACCCACAGTGAGGGTGGTGAAGCCACAGTAGATTCTCCACAAGTAAAACCAGTGACACACACGACCTGTGCACAGGGGAGAGGACACAGCAGAGAGCGGCTGCCCACTCGCTCCCACAGCAAGACGACGACACGGAGCCCTCACCAGGCAGGCGCGGCTAACGCGGGACAGACAAGTGGTGAGCCCAGAGACAGCGACGTTGGCAGAGCAGGAGTCCAGCCGCCAGTGGGGACCAGGGAGGTGGGGGGCCACACAAAGGGGCGCAGGAGCTCTGCAGGCTCAGCCCGCACCTCCCTGGTGCTGCCTGCCCCCACCTCCCCAGCCCCTGCCGCTCACCCAGCAGGCCAGTGAGGGCACAATGAGGTCTGTGAGCAGGGACGCAGCCACAGGTCCTGGATCAGAGGGCACAGGGCTCAGGCCCCAGTGCACTCCAGACACGCTTAGCTAGAAAACAGGAACACTGGCCTGTGCAGGGACAAACCTTCCCACCTCACACATGGGACTGGTCTTCAGGTGCAGGGCACCTCGCTGAGGGTGGACCCGGTCAGGCCGTGACCTCTGGCTGCACCAGCGGCACCTGCCCCACTGAGACACCGTGCTGCTGCTGCTGCTGCTCCCGCGGCAGCGCTGACACCTGAGCACCCCGCCCCCCCACAGACCCCCACACTCAGAGTCCTCTCCAGCCCGGGTCTCTGCCTCCCCAAGCCAGCCCCCGACCCTGCCCGGTGGCCTCTCCCTGGCCGTCATGGCCACGCCTGGGCCTGGGCCGATAAACAGGCCCACGGCACCCGAGCCCTCTGCTCACAGCTGTCTACCCGCCCCCACCGCGCTGGGGTCTCTTGCCCATCAGCACAGCTGCCGACACAGCGCGGTGACTGCGCGACACCTGGTCGAGCACCGGGAGCTGCTGTGACAGGAGACCCGTGACCACGTGTGGTGACAGACACTAACAGCACTGACCGGGATCGTCTCCTGACGCACACACCCGCGTCACACCGCCCAGAGATGGACGCGTCCGTCTTGTCGGTGGAGAGGGGAGCGGGGCTAGGAACATTCTCGTCCGAGTCCGTTTCTGGTCCCAAGCGCTCACTTCTCCAGGAGGCCGGGCACCAGCATGAGCAACGCCCAGCTGGCCCTCCGCTCGCTCGCCACCGCCACAGGGGGCAGCGAGCTCCCATGAGCCATGCTGTCAGGACGGTGCTGAGCGATGACCAGTGGTGCTAGCACGTCGCCAGGACCTCAGCGCCCAGCAGACCTTCCTTCCTGTTTCCATCTAGTTCACAGGTCCTGGGCGCGTCTTCCGTCTGAACACCTACAGCAACCATCTGCTTGTCTGAGAACAGCTTTAACTGACTTTCGCTTTTTACTTATGATCCTCACCTGAGAATATTTCCCCATTTATCTTCAGACAGAGTAGACGGGGAGAGAAATATTGATGAGAGAGGGACACAGGACTGGCTGCTTCCCACACGACCCCAACCAGGGCAGGGACAAACCGCAACCAAGGCACGTGCCCCTGACTGAAATTGAACCCAAGACTCTCTGGTCAGGGGGCCGATGCTCTAACCGGTGAACTAAACCGGCCAGGACTTGACTTTCATTTCTGAAGGATGATTTCACTGGAGATAGAATTCCAGACCGGTGGTTTTCTTTCAGCACTTTCAAATGTTTTTATTGATTTTTTTAGTGAGAGGAAGGAAGAAATAGAAACATCATGTGAAAGAGACACATCGATCGGCTGCCTTCTGCACGCCCCCTACTGGGGATGGAGCCCGCACCCTGGGCATGTGCCCTGACTGGGAATTGAACTGGGACTTCAGTCCGTGGGACGATGCTCCAATCACTGAGCCACGCTGGCTGGGCTTTCAGCACTTTTATTTTTTTTTATCCTCACCTGAGAACATTTTTTTTGATATTTTGTTCAGAGAGAGTGGGAGGGAGAGAGAGAGAGAGAAACACAGATGTGAAAGGGACACCTCAAGTTGGCTGCCACCCACACGACCCAACTGGGGCCGGGGACAAACTGCAACCGAGGTACATGCCCTTAGCGGGAACCGAACCCGGGTCTCTCCAGACCGCAGGCCGACGCTCTAACCGCTGAGCCACACCGGCCAGGGCTACTTTCAGCACTGAGGCAGCTGAGGAGCTGTCAGTCCCGGTCCCCGAGTCCCCTCCTCCCACCACAGCACTGGCCTTTGGTTCTCAGCCACGTAACCACGACACACTTGGGGAGGGGAGGGCTTTCCTTTTACAAACATCCTCTATAATAAAGAGCTTTTGGCCCCGGCCAGTTTTCTCAGTGGTTAGAGCATTGGCCCACACACCAAGGGGTTACAGGTTCGATCCCCGGCCCCAGTTGGGATTGTGCAGGGGCCAACTGATCGATGTGTCTCTCTCACACTGATATTTTCTCTCTCTCTCTCTCTCCCTGCCTCCCTTCCACTCTGTCTAAAAATCAATAGAAAAATATCATAGGATGAGGACTAAAAAAAAAGAGCTTTTGATCCATGGTTGCTGTCTTGGACCCCAAACAAAGGCACGCAGACCTTGCCCTGGTCTCCCGGGTGCCTTCTGGGGTCCTTTCTGGAGCTTCCGCCACGCCCTGTGCGGGGCCTACTCACCGCGGAACAACCGCAGTCTGGAATTCACGCCGCACCTTCGACACAGCCAGGTCTCTAGTGAAACCCACCTTCCTGTCTTCTCGACCACGTTGCTCAGCTGTTCAAACCTGGACCACCTCCCGCATCTGCCTCACCGTGCGCCTTCGCCTGCCTTTTCCTGTGTCTCCCACACTCGGTCTTTGAGAACAAGCACTGTAAAGCGTACATGCACGTGCTTAGAAACTACGGAAGCTCTGGGAGTGGTCTTCCTCCAGGAGGAAGACCCAGCAATGTTAAGTCCTAAATTTCCTTGTCTCCGGAGTGTCTTTTCCTACCAGACTTCACACCCCTTCAGAGTGTCAATGTGGAAAAGCCACTGCACAGAGGAGGAGGAGAACACACACAGAGCAACAGCACATGGAGACACAAGACACGCACCCTGGTCTCCTGACGCCAGGGCTCTCTTCCTGAGCCTGGCCACGGGCAGGCCAGCGCGGCACTGAGCCTGCCGGGGCCCGGCGTGGGAGCTCAGTCCTCTGGACCCGGGGCTGGGTCTGACCACCGCTCCTGGCAGGACTAGGGGTGTGGGCAGCACAGCCCCGGGCGCGGCAGCAGCTGTCTCTGGAGCCCCCTGCGCGGCTCCCCTCTTGGTCTGGAACATGCTGAGTCTGGTTCTCTGCATGTGTGTGCACGTGTGCGTGTGCCAAGGTCCGTGGGGAAGCCTGCCCTGCCCCACACGGCCTCCCTCCGTCCAGCTGCCCTGGCCCAGGGCTCTGCGTCTCCAGTGCTTGGAATGTCACCCTGTGCACCAAAACACTGCAGGTTCAATTTGCAGCCAGGGCACACACCTGGGTGTGGGTTCAACCCCTGGTCGGGATGTGTAAGGAGACAACCTGTCGATGTCTCTCTCTCCCCCTTCTTCTCTCTAAAATCAATAAGAACATGTGCTCGGGTGATTAAATTCAGGAAACTCAAATACAACGTAAGCTAAACGAGACACCTGCAGCTCGCAGGGCAGGTGTGCGGTCAGGCTCTGATGCGGCTGCTCCGACAGGTGGCGCACCCGAGCGCGAAGGACACGGCGGGGAGCACAGGCTCCTCCTCGGGCCCCTCACCTCCTGGTCTGACCAGGGCGTGAGCTCCTCCCTCGGCTCCGCCTCGCGGCCCAGCAGAGCAGTGTGCACACAGCAGTGCTCAGTGGAAGGGGAGACATGCAGGGACACCCTCATGTGTGCGTAAGCAGATACATTCTACCAAGAAATCGAGGTGCAGGGGCAGCCACCATGGCCCTTCTGAGGTGGTGTCTGGGGAAGCGAGCATCCTCACCCCTGGGCCAGGCCGGGACTGAGGCCGACCCAGCACACAGGCCTCGAGAGGCTCCTGCTGTCAGCTGCCGCGTCCGTCCCACACAGCTGCTGGGGGTCAGCTCACCGCCCGCCTGTCCCCCCCACGTGACGCTGCTAGGGGTCCCCGTGAGGCAGGTTAGCAAGAGGCTAGGAAAGTTCCTCGACAATGGGAACGAGGGAAATAGAGACAAGATGGTTAGACACACGGCGGCACAATCAGCTGATAAATCACAAGACCCCATCCTCCCCAACCAAGGACACTCAGGGGCAGACGGTTCACACCTCTCCTCCCCGACCAGACGGTGCGTATCTTAAATCACCCTGGTCAGGGGGACCGGTAACAGACCCAGCTGGTGCCTTCAGTGCCAGCCACACCCAAGCGTGGATGAAGAAGGAATAAATAACAAAAATCCAGATAAGAGCCAGACAGACCCGAGGTGAAGCTGACCGGAGAATGATCCCAAACCCCTCTCTATACTCATTTTGATGCATCAGCATGTTGAAAGACACACCTGAAAAGCTGAATATTCTGATTGAGACCTGCCCTAAAATTCCCACCTACAGGAAACAGGTAAAAAGGACCAGCACACGCTCTCCCTTGAGCACCCCTGCGCCCCCTTCTCCTAAGCGCTAAGGGCTCCGATGAGACGTGAGCAGGGGAGCAGTGGGCGGGGCCAGCTCGTCCCAGGCTCCCCCTGATCCTGTCTCCGAGGGCCCTGCGCGGTGACTTTCCTCTGAGCCCAGGGGCCTTGCCTGGGCTCAGTCCTGTTGCTGTGATCTCGCCTCTTCTGTCCTAACCCTTCCTGCCTCGCTGCCCCGGCTTTAATGAATGGACTCTGACAACCACCTGGATCGTGTCTTGAATTCTTCCTGCAGGAAGTAGAACACCCACGTCCCAGGCCCTGCCAGGGCAGACCCGCCTCAGAAGGTCCCTTCCTGGCAGCACCTCCTGCCCCTCCCAAGGTGCGACACTGCTGGGTGCTACCACTCCACCCGTGTTCCCTCCCACACACGGCACCACACACTTCGCAAACTTCACAGTGGTCGCGTTCCGAGGCACGAATCCCGTGTGGAACTGGACCTGGAACATCTTCATGGACGCCATCTGCAGAGAAAGCACACACCACACCCTTGAGCTGGGAGGTGGTCCAGGCTGAGGACGCGGGGAAGGGGACGGCACCCTCTCTGACAAGCGGCCCTTGGGGTCCCAAGACCCCCATGCAGATGGCAGTGCCGTAGTGTGGGGCCAACTCTGGGTTTCGGGCCCAACCCCTCCGCCCCGTGCTCTGTGGGCCACCTGGCCTCGGGCCCAGCCCACCCCGCACACCCACCTTGGCCTGCAGTCTTCCTCCCAGCGTGGACCTCGCGTGGTAGATCACAATGAGCACGTCCCCTTGGACCGTCGTGCCCAGGGGAATGACCGCTTTGCCGTCCTCGATTTTAAACTCCCTGAGGGCAGGGCAGTGAGAAGGCCCACGTGAGCCGAGGTGATGTCGGGTACGGGCTTGGCTGCGCGCCCTCCCAACGCACGGCGGCCTCGTTCCACAGCCTCGTCGCCCTGGTCTTGTTACAAACTATTTCGGGAGCAGGGGCTCCAGGAAATGACTTCTGAGAAGCTACTCCTCACGTGACACCAGGGGAACCTCCACGCCTGCCTGCCCACCAGGCCTGCGACCAGCAGGAAAGCCTGTCTGCTGCTCGTCGCCAGACCCGGGGGGGCGTCGGCCACCACGGCCCCTCGCGTGCCTCCCAGCAACGTCTCCCTCCTCGTCTTCCAGGGCAACGGCCTGTGCTCACCTCATCTTGTCGTACTCCTGGGACGTGGTGGCCATGCGCTCGTCCCCCACGTAGACCTCACAGAAGGGCCTGCAGCCACTCCTCTGCTTGTTGAACAGTGGCACGGGCGTCATGACGACGGCCCGCACCAGGATCGGCTTGCTGTGGGGCGTGATGGGCTCCTCCGCCACCATGTCACACATGTACTCAATGTACCTGCAGAGGCCACGGCAAGGGACACAGCACGTCACACACGCCCTGCGCAGTCTGCGTGCCACGTCTCACAAGCCCTGCGCAGTCCACGCGCCACGTCACACACGTACCCTGCGCAGTCCACGCACGTCACACACGTACCCTGCGCAGTCCACGCGCCACATCACACACGCACCCTGCGCAGTCCACGCACGTCACACACGCACCCTGCACGGTCCACGTGCCACGTCTCACACGCACCCTGCGCGGTCCACACGCCACGTCACACACGCCCTGTGTAGCCCACGCGCCGCGTCTCACAGGAACCCTGCGCGGTCCACGCCACATCACAGGAGCTCTAGCCAGCACACGAGACCCTCTGCAGTCCAGGGCTCACTCCCAGCGCTCAGTGCCGACGCCCTACGCAGGTTCTAGCTCTGCTGCCAAGTGCAGTGCTGTGATTTGCATTCAGTTCAGGATATTCTCATATTTCCCCGACTCCCTCTCTGAGTCATGGGTTATCCGGAAGTAGACTAGTTGACTTTGAAATACTTAGGAATGTTTCCAATTACCTTTCTGTTACCAGTTTGTAGCTGAATTCTATTACGGCCCAGGGAACATGCCTTGTATGGTTTCTATTTTTTTTTTCAAGTTGGTTGTGGCTGAACGGCCCAGAGTACGACCTTTCTTACTGAACATCCCGTGTGCCCTGAAAGGACATGTGCTCTGTGGTCGTGGAACATCTGCAGACATCAGGCCTGGTTGGGGCTGCGTTCGGGCCGCGGACCCGTCCGTCCTTCCTGAAACGGGGGCGCTGAGGTGCGAGCTGCTGTCGTGACCGTGTCTCCACTCAGCTCCACCATGTCTGCTCCGTGAACTCGGAATCCCATCCCACCAGCCTGCTGCTCAGTACTCGCCGGTGCACGCCTCCACATGCATGTCTGGGCTCCTGCCCCGGCGACCCTCCTCCCCACAGGCAGCAGTGCTGACTTGCCTCTCACCACCGAGACGGGAAGCACTGGTGCGCTGCCCTACTCCGTCTCGCTGCACGTCAGCCACTGGGCTCTCACCAGCCCCCAGCAAGAGGCAGACGCCAGGACCTCCTCCACAGCCGAGACCTGAGTGTGCTGGGACGCGGTTCAGGGTGAAGGAGCGCTGGCTCGGAGGTGAGTTTCTGGGAACGCAGCCCGGCTGCACCGAGGTGGGCCCGCAGACCAGACGGGAGTCGAGGCGGCTGCTTTAGTGCTGACCCTCGGGCCCCACACTGACCAAAGCCTTGCCTGGCTCTGTCCCAAGTGCAGACAGTCCAGCACTGGGCCTGCTCTCACCTGCCGTGCACCTTCCCTTCTGATGGCCACCTGGCTGGGCAGCCACCCTCCAGCCATCGTTTTCCATTTTTTCAGCTGCTCCGGTCCCCTCTCCTTGGCCTTCTCTTGGATTAACTGAGCGTTCTTCCCGCGTTCCTCTGCTTCCTCCATTGACTCACTAATCGTAGTACTTGGAATCTTCAGTGGATGTCCTTGAATTCCGACGAGAACTTTTCTGGAATTTGCTGAAATCTGTCTTCTTTCCACTGGAGTGTAGCTTCAGCAGAGAGAACAGGTACGTGCAGGTGGGCTTTCCCTGTGTCTGTGCTGTGTCTAATCTGCTTGGTGTCCTCTGAGCTTCTGAGGCTTGGTGCTGTCATGACCTTGAAGAATTTCTTGGAGCCTGTTTCTTCAGAGTTTTGTGACAACATCCAAGAGAGTACGACGAGGCGGCCAGCTCCTTCACGGTCTTCTCCACATTCTCCTTTCACAACCGATGAGCCTGGGAGGTGGCCTTCCGGTCTCCGGCACCTCACCAAGCGTTTCCATTCACCTCTTCCTTGCGGCCTCCATTCTGCTGAAGACCCAACCTCGCTGCCCTGCAGATGGTTCCCCTCCGTCACTGCTCAGCTCCAACAGACCTCCTGTCAGGACCTGGTCTCCTCCTGCCTGTCCCCCAGAGCCAGACTCCAACCCACTGTCTGACCCATTCTGCCAGGGCCCAGCAGAAACTCAAGAGGACAGACTCCCCAGTCTCTGCGTCCTCCCCTGCTTCTGCCCACTCGCTGGCCCTCCCTTCTAGCACCTGGCTCACGTCTCTGCTTAGACTGCAGGGTGGCCAATTGCTCTAGTGACCTGTTCCCACAGGCTGGAAGTCATGAGGGTGAAGCCAATCCCACTGCTGTCTAAGTGGTCAGGGTGGGAAGGATGCTCTGTGCCCCTCACACCCCAAGTCAGCAGCCCAGGGCTGAGGGGCCAGCGCCAGGCACACCCCACTGCTAACAGCCCTCTCCCTGGCTCTGCCCCCGACTGTGAGTGGCTGCTCAGCAGGACCCTTGGGCAGCAGGCAGGCTTCAGGACCCTCAATGTGCTTGGAATTCAGGAGTAAACATGGCTTCTAGGTGAGCACGTTGAGAGGGACAGTGGTCCTTCCCTTTGCTTAGTGGCCTAGCCCACTTTCCAGTGACACCGAACTTCGGTGTCACTGGTGGCTGCTCCCTGGCAGCCGAGGGACAGGACACTGCACCACGCCCCACCCCCAGGCACCAAGGGGCCCAGACAAGGGTGTTTACCCTGCCCTCACTATCCACGGCTCTGGGACCATCCAGGACAGAAGGAATGGCCTGGAAAGATCGACCCGGGCGGGCCTGGACGCCCCTTCTCTCACGTCACCCACTCGGACCAGACCCATGTGCGTGCAGAGCTGGCAGCCAGAGGCGCTGCCCCGTCCACCGCCCAGCGAGCAAGTGGCCGTGCCCGGCGTAGACACAGGCCTCACGGCCATGCCCGCTGCAAGAACTGGCGCCCAGGAACCCGGCAGAGGCACTGCCTGCCGCTCGGCCCAGGAAGGCCGAGATCCCGCCCCGCCCTGACCCACTGGCCGGGCTGCTGTCTGGACAAGGCAGGGCCGAGTTCGCCAGGTTGGAGCTGCACCCCACACTGCACCATACGCACCCCTTCCTGAAACCCTTCCCCTCTTCCAGGGACAGTTCAACCAGTGCCCTGCAAGAGGGACACAGTACCTTTTATGGGACGGCCAGATGCCCGGCGGGCAGCGCTTCATGCTGAACATGTACACGGCAGCCTCCGCGGTGCTGAAGAGCCGGCAGAAGCACAGGAAGGAGCAGACAGCCACGGCCGAGGCGGCTCTCCCGTCCTAGGTGGACACACAGGCAGCTCACTTGGGCCCCACCCACCCACCTCTCCAGGCCAGAGAGCAGGGCCCACCCTCTGGGCTGAGAGCACATTCTGGAACTTACGGAAACACCCGAGGAGGTGAGAACCCAGTCCAAGAAGAAGAAAGGCTCCTTCGTGGAAAGCACAAGGAGGCCAGCTCGTCCAACCGGACACCTCCCGCTCTCTGCCCCCGCTCTCTGCCCCCCGCCTGACGCTCACCCTCTCGCTGAACCCTTTGTCATCACCCCCGGTGCGACTTCCACCCACACCAGGGCAGCTGCGCTGAGCTCCAAGTGGGCATTGCAGGAGCCCCTGTGAGGACCACCCTAAGCCTCACGGTGCTGTGGGGACAGGATGGTCTCAGCTACAGGAGTGGCAAAGATGGGGTGCCATGAGGCAGTGCTGGCTGGTAGAGATCCCTGTGGGTCTTGCCTCGTAAGGAGACAAGAGAATGCACATGAGACTACTACAGGTTCATTGAAAGAAGTGGAAAAGCCCAGGCTGGTTTGGCTCAGCAGTCAGAGCATCGGCCCGAGGACCAAAGGATCACAGGTTCAGTCCCTGGCCCGGGTCGGGGTCGTGTGGGAGGCATCCAACTGACGTGTCTATATCACATCCATGTCTCTGTCTCCTCCCCCCCGCCGCCCAGTCTATCTAAAAATCTATAGAAAAACATCCTCAGGTGAGGATTAACCAAAAAAAGGAAAAGGAGCAGGTACGTGCCCAGACTGGAGGTGGCGGAGTCCTGCCGGGCACCAGCACTGGGGAGGCTCCCCCAGGCCCTGCCGGGGCACATGCCAGCCCAGCTCAGGCCCTGGCTCTCAGGGCACAAAGCACCGCAGCTGAGCGGGAGCCCCTCCTCGGCTGGGCCCCTCCCAGCACCATCGCTGTCTGACGCCTGGGCCACTCCTGTCCTCTGTCCCCTCAGCCCACTGGAGCCCCCAGGGCAGGGGTCTCCCTGGTCTCTGTCCTCTGCTGCACCCGAGCGAAGGGTGGGCGAGGCCTCCCACTCACCACGCAGTGCAGCACGCAGACATTCTTCTGGTCCTGCCGCAGCCACCAGTGCATGTCCCTGCAGACGCTGTACAGGCTGCGGAGGCTCGGGGCCCGCCGGGCCGCCCACCCGCACTCGGACACCTGCAGGATGGGGCACCAGGATGGGGCATGGCTCAGCCTGACGTCTGCACCCCTCGGGGAGGGGCCCCATCACGAGCGCCCACCTCGCTCACACACTCTTCTGTGGCAGGATCTGCGCCAGGTGAACAAACCTGGCACAAGAACCAGGAGGCAGCCCTCTCCCACCCTCGGGTCGGCTGTGAAACAGGTCTATGCCCGAAGGCTCAGGCTCCCCCACGGTGAGAAGCAGTGAGGCTCCGCTGGCTCCTCAACACCCATCAGACTTTCTCTTCAGTGTCCTTGAGATGACCCCATGCGGTGTCCTCACATGCCTGAAGACCCAGCCCCCGTCGCAGCCCCCCGCTCTCCCAAGTCGGCCTATGCAGGTCGAGAGGACTGGCCCGCGACGGCACTGCAGGAGGCAGTCTGGCCACTCACCCGGTTGTGGAACTTCGAGGGCCGGTACGTCCTCGAGGACAGGTTGTAGACTGCATAATGTCCGGGGTGCTTGGAGTCCAGAAATAACCGCACATCCTCTATGTTATTTTTGATGGCGGACTCCACCCCTTCTGCTGGGAACGACATCACTGAAAGAGAGCAGCCCGTCAGCCCCTAGGTGGCCCCTGGGGATAGCCACTCAGGCCCCTGCGGCTAGCCCTCCTGCCGCTGGTAGCAATCAGCCAGGGCCCGCCCCACCCACCGCCTGCCGGCCATCTGCAGAAGGCTCCAGGGTCTGCGGCCGGCACACTGGGTGGCAGGCTGTGCTGAGACCTGACACGGCAGGGTCGCCGACTGCCCTGCTTTTGGTTTTGCCCAGAGACCAAGCTCCCCCTGTGCATCATTCCTCTCTCAGCCTCAGTGCCCCAGATGTCCCAGACCAGGGAGAGGAGCTGGGTTGACCTTTGCCCCGGAATTGCAGCAGGCTGCAGGGGCAGCATCCTGGGACCCTCTCCAGACAGGAGTCAGAGGTGCTCGGGTCAGCGCTGGCAAACGCACCTGCGATTCTGGAAGTGATGTAAGAGATGTCCAGGTCTCCCTTCGCGTAACTGGAATTCAAGAGAGCACCTGGTTATTACAGGAGATTTCTGTGGCTGAGTCACACGAGTGACAGGTAGCGTGAGCCCTGCAGAGGCCGTGGGGATGAGCACTGTGTGTGGGGCTCGCTGTGTGTGAGTGCAGGACTAGCACCTGTGGGGGTGCATGAGCGTGCGTGAAGCTGACACCTCCCGGAGGCGGCTGCAGATGGAGAAGCGGGGACAGTGCAGGCTTAGAGCTCTTGGTGCTATTCTCCCTCAAAGAGGCACGACAGTGGAGCTGGTCTTGACGAAACAGTGACAGAATGGATGGCAGAGCCTTCGGCCCACTGTGCTGTCAGGCCTGGCACTCCAGGAAGTTAGGAGGCGAACCAGCAGGCAAAAGCACGATGTGAGGACACAGTCAGCATCCGAACCAGACACAACAGGGTCGCTGCAATGACCAGACCAGGAATCTAAAACAACTGACGAATAAGCTGACGGGTAACGCAGACACATGCGCGGGCAGATGAGCGGCATGGACAGAGACGGAAACCCTAAGAAAGAAGCGAACAGAAGGCGGGGGTGCGGGCTAGACAAAAACACTGCACAGAACTGAACAGCCTCTGTGGGCTCATCAGACTGGACACGGCTGAGGGAGGAATCTCTGAGCTACAGGACATATCAAGTGAACCCTCAAAGACCGAAAAGCACAGAGAACAAAGGCTGTGAAAGCCAGAACAGGGCACCGAGGGCTTGGGACAACGTGGGAGGGACACACACACCAGGGACACAGAGGAGAGAAGGGACTGAGGGAACGTTCAAGACAATGAAGACTAGGAATTCCCCCAGATCCACGCCGGACACCACACCGCGGGTGCAGGACGCTTGGAGAACGCCCAGCAGGATGAACAGCCAGGAGCCACGACTACAGTCTGCAGCAAGTCAGAGGAGCAAGAACCCTGCCCTGGACGGCTTGGCCCACAGACCAAAGGGTCCCGGGTTTAATTCCCCATCCAGGGCACAGACCTAGGACTCAGGTTTGAACCCTGGCCCCAGTTGGGGTCGCGCGGGAGGCCACCAATCAATGTGTCTCTCACATCCATGTTTCTCTCTCTCTCACCCTCCCTCTCTCCCCCCACTCTCTCTAAAACTCAGTGGAAAACATCCTTGGGTGAGGACAACCAAGCTGGGGGGAGGTGGACGCAGGCACAGCTGACCCACAAGGAACAAAGACAAGAATTACACCGACTTCTCAGAAACCACGAGTAAGAATTTCCAAAGTGTAAGAAGAAAAAACACCAACACAGAACTCTGTGCCCTGTGAAATTATCCTCCAAAAGTAAAAAAAAGAAAAAGACTTTCTTAAAACTGAAGAAAACTGGTGGTGGTGGTCCTGCTGCGCAGGACGGTTGCTGAAAGCCCGAGAGACGGGAACGAGGCAGGTCAGAGGCTCGAGTCCACGTGGAGAAGCAGCATCGGAGCAGGGACGAGTGAAGGTGAGATGAACACTTGGCTTGCGATTCCCACCCGGGAGGGAGTGTTCACACCCAAACGGCAGCAGTGCCCGGTGTGCACGTGTGCAGGAGCGAGGAGTGGCTGTGGTCACAGAGCACCCCGACACCCGCGAGGTGGCGCAGGGTCACTCACAGGGCAACCACAGGGCAACCACCAGAAAAAGCGAGAGGAAGTGTAACATGCTAAGATGGCGAACATGGACTCACATACAACACTCAGTTCAAACCACAACGGCAGAGAAAGCAGGAGAAGCAGGAACGCGGAGCAGGGCGGCGAGGGGAAAGGGCGACGTGGTTGGCGTTGAACCCGAGGTGCCGGCAGTCACGCCGCACTCAGAGGTCTAGTGCGCCCGTCAGACAGGGGCCCACATCCGTCTGCCCCGGGCCTGGGCTGGGCGCCTGCTCCCCCCAACTCCCAGCTCACTGCAGGTGCTACTATTCCTCGCGAGCTGCGCGGTCCGAGCACATTTACTCCTGATCAGTGCTGGGTCCCTTTGTTGTTTTAAAGAAATGTGGGGTGTTTGAGGAACACAGAATTTTTATTTTAAGTTAGTGAGATATACTAATTGTTTCCTTCATGGCTTGTGTATTTTTTGTCTCTTTTAAGAAATCTTCCACTGTTACAAAACTGTCTCTATAATTTATTAAATTTTCTTTTAAAAAATTGCTTCTCAGAGTTAGATCTTCTAACTGACCAGAACTAATGCAGTCGCTGCTGTCAGAGGGGCGCCCGCCTTCCTTTTCCAAGTGCGCAGGCGTGGCCTCAGCGCCTCGTTCACGAGTCCACCGCCGCCCTCCCGTCCCAGCGCCCAGCACACGATACTGACGTCTGAGAGAGTTCTCCTGTGCATAACAGGCTCATCCTCTATTTTTTTTGTTAACCCTCACCCTGAGGATATTTTCCCGTTGATTTTTAGAGAGTGAAAGGGAGGGAGGGAAGAAGGGAGGGGTGAGAGGGAAAGAGAGAGTAACATCGATGTGAGGAAGACACATTGATTGATTGCCTCCTGCATGTGCGCCGACCAAAGCCAGGAGTCAAACCCACAAGCCTTCAGTGTTCGAGCCAATGCTCTCACCACTGAACCACACTGGCTAGGACCATCCCCTGTTACTCTTTTTTTTTTTTAAATCCTCACTCGAGGATATTTTTCCATTTTTTTGCTCAGATAGAAGGGAGAGAGAGGAAGAGAGAGCGAGAGAAACATCGATGGGAAAGGGACACATCGAGTGGCTGCCTCCCGCACGACCAACCAGGGCCGGAGACAAACTGCAACCGAGGTACATGCCCTTAGCGGGAACCGAACCCGGGTCTCTCTGGACCACAGGCCTACGCTCTAACCGCTGAGCCAAACCGGCCAGGGCTCCCCTATTACTCTTATTTTTTAAAGTACTGCTGTCAATTTTGGGTAATTGAATTTTAAGATCAAAATCAATGAAAACAATGTCAGAAGTTTTATCGGTTTGGCAGTGAATTTATAGATTAATTGAAAATTAAAATCTTTAGCCCTGGTCGGTTTGGCTCAGCGGTTGGAGCGCCAGCCTGTGGACCAGAGAGTCCTAGGTTCGGTTCCCGCTAAGAGCACGTACCAAAAAAAAAAAAAAAATTAAAATCTTTACAATTCTCCCAAACGTAAATTTCTCCACACTTACTTAACTTAGGTCTACTTTCGTGGTTCTCATTGGACTCAACCGGGCAGGGCAGCCTGAGCAGGGAGGTGGGCCCGCTGGCTCCAGGGGCAACGGGGACACTGGTGCAGGTAGCCGCTCAGCCTGTTGGCCCTCCCCACCCTCTGAGGGCAGCCAGCAGGCATGGAGGAGGGCAGGAGGAGCCCCCAGACCTGGGGAGGCCTCCCGCTGGAGCCTAGGTCAACACCCAAGCCCACTGTCCTAACTTGAGCATATGATGGATAAAATACCCCAGCCTGAGTAAGCACGCAGGCAACTTGACAAGTCTGTTCTAGATTCTACCGGAAGCTGACATTCCTGGGAAGGAAGGACAGAGGAAGAAGGCATGTGTTCCAGCCAATAGTGCTGAGGGCCGCAGGGACGGCCAGACACCAACAGGACAAGAGGGAGCTCAGGGACGAGTGGGGGCCTGGAAACAGACTGGGGTGGCACCCAGCTTGCCATCAGCAGAGGGGCAACTCTTGTTGGGGGAGAGTTGACAGGAACCCATGAAAAACCCCCAAGTAACGTCTACATGGATTAAAGACCCAGATGTACAAGAAACCCTTTAAAAACACATTTGGGCCCTGGTCAGTTTGGCTCAGCGGTTAGAGCATCGGCCTGCGGTCCGGAGAGACCCGGGTTCGGTGTCTGCTAAGGGCATGTACCTTGGTTGCAGTTCGTCCCTGGCCCTGGTTGGTCGTGCGGGTGGCAGCCACTCGATGTGTCCCTTTCACGTCGATGTTTCTCTCTCTCTCTTCCTCTCTCTCCCTCCCACTCTATCTGAACAAAAAATGGAAAAATGTCCTCAGGTGAGGATAAAAAACAAAAAAACCACATTTAGACATTCTGAAACATGGTTTAAAACACACGTAGCCTAGTTAAAGTGGGGTGTGAAGGGCCTCCATGCACAGGAAAACAAAAGGCGTAGAGGGAAGTGTGAATACATCTGTGCTTTTTGTTTTTGTTATCGTCACCCAAGGATATTTTTGCATTTATCTTCAGATAGAGCGGGAGGGAGAGAGGAAGGAAGAGAGAGAGCGAAACATTGACACGAGAGAGACACATCAACTGGCTGCCACCCACACAACCCTAACCAGGGCTGGGGACGAACCTCAACCAAGGTACGTGCCCTTAGCGAGAACCGAACCTGGGACTCTCTGGTCCAAGGGCCCACACTCTAACTGCTAAGCCAAACCGGCCAGGGCTACCCTCTGTGCTTTAATTAAAGTCAAACAGAAGAGACAAGTAACAGGCAAGGAGCAACTGCCATTTCTGTCTTTTCCACAAAGTGCACCAGTATTAGAACACATAATACACAAGTATAACTAACACAAGAACAAAAACCCAACATGAAAAGAGCAAAGTATGGGCACGGGCCATTCACAGAAGAGAAGTGCACACGGCCAGAGGTACAAGGCCACAGGCCACAGGCCACAGGCACAGGCCACGGAAGCTTCCGACCCAGTGCTCGGGAGGCCAGCTGGGACCTGGTCACTGCCCCATGTCTGCCTGAGCACCGGCACGGGGCCCAGAGTGAATAAGGGGAGCAGACACCACACAGTAAGCACACAGAGCTGGGCACTCGGGGTGCCTGGTCAGAGAGGCTGTGTGAGAACCTGCTGTGCTGGCTCTAGGACGTGATGCTCACGGATATATAACAGGGATCACCCCCTATGGGACAAGTAAGGTCTGTACCTCAAAGTGATGAGAGGAACAAGAGATGACAGACAGACACAGGCCCAGGCCTGGCCCTGGCTTCCAGGACATGGACAGCTGCGGGCACCTGCAGGGCCGCTGCGGGCAGCTATGGACAGGCGGAGGCTACACCTTCATGCAGAGAGGGCCTTCCTCCAAAGTCGAGCCCCCCCAAAATTCTGGGGCCACACTCCCCATGAGAAGGTCTCGCTGTGGCAGAGAAGGCTGCCCAGTGGTCCTAGAGATCGCCTGTTAACAGTGACCAGGATGCGACCACTCCGGGACCTGAACTGGGGCCTCCAGTGGGTGCAGAGCCCTGGGTGGTCAGAGAACCTTGCTAGCCACACTGGACGCCATATCAGTGGGGGTGGGGGTGGGATCCTACCTGTGGTCACGTCTGACCACCACCAGGGAAAAGCCCCAGACAGCATGATGCACGTGTGCATGCACCTGTGATTTGCATGTGCACATCCACACCCGTACACACACACCTACTAACACACGTAAACACAAGCACATCTGTGATACACAGTGCACGTCTACATGCGTGCAAAACCATGCCCATTCACATACACGCACACCCTTTTACACACACCTGATACATGTGCGCACACCCACATATGCTCACATGCACATGTAAACATGCATGTGCACACCTGCTCATGCACATGTGCACGCCTACACCTGAACACACCCAACCACACAGTGTTCATACACATGGTACACACACAACACACCTGAACACACATGCACAAATACGTCCACACGAGTTTACTCACAAACACATTCCACTCAAGCACACATGTGTGTACATGCTCACACACAGCATGCATGCCTTTGGCATGTTTCTGACACAGGTGTGTGCCCGAGATGATGATCATGGCACACACAAAGGAAGAATACAGAATGAGGTCAAGTGGTTTCCACAAATGTCAGTGGACTGTGCTGATTACAACCAAAGGGACAAACACCCAGACCCTGGACTGAGCACCTGACAGACACGTCCGAGATACCCCCACTCTGAGCGGTGTGGCTCAGCACCAGGAGGTTGCCAGTTTGAGTCCCAGTTGGGGCACATGACCGGTCTGTGGGCTCAATCCCCAGTGGGGGGTGTGTGTGCAGGAGGCAGCCAACTGACGTTCCTCTCTCCTCGATGTCTCTCTCTCTCTCCCCCCCTCTTTTTTTTTTTTTATCCTCACCTGAGGACTTTTCACTTTTTGTTCAGATAGAGTGGGAGGGAGAGAAAGGAACAGAGAGAGAGAGAAACATCGATGTGAAAGGGACACATCGAGTGGCTGCCACCCGCACGACCAACCAGGGCTGGGGACAAACTGCAACCAAGGTACATGCCCTTAGCGGAAACCGAACCCGGGTCTCTCTGGACTGCAGGCCGACACTCTAACCGCTGAGCCAAACTTGCCAGGGCACTCCCTCTCTCTTAAATCAGTAAAAACTTTTTTTTAAAAAGCTCTTTGCAAATCTCCTCCTGCAGACAGGCTCCCAGAGCAGTGGACAGGGAGTGATGGCCTCGTGCTGAAGCTGACACCTCCACACAGCCACTCCAGGGACCTGGGCCAAGCTACACATTCCGGCCATGGGCTGCGGGCCTGCGCCTGTGCAGACATGTGCTCCCCTGAACGGCCCTCTCATAGGTCATGCTCACCCACACGCTCAGGCCCACTCGCCCGAGTCTGGGTGACCTCACCTATATTTTTTTTTTAAATTCTCACCCGAGGATATTTTTCTATTTATCTTTAGATAGAGGAGGAGGGAAAGAGAGAGTGAGAGCAAGACAGAGAGAGAAACATTGATGCAAAAGATACACACCGACTGGCTGCCTCCCACACATCCCCGATCAGGGCCAGGGACGAACCATCACCGAGGCAGGTGTCCTTGACCAGATTCAAACCTAAGACCCGCTGCTCCACGGGCCAGCGCTCTAACTGCTGAGCCAAACTGGCCAGGGCTGATCTCACATGTAGCGTCAGCGAGCTCCGTCCCCCCCCCACCCCCCCACCGCAGAAGGAGCAGCACGAAGGTGACGGCGCCGACTCAGGAGAGGAGCACTGACAGCTCCGCAGGGCTTCTCTGCTCCCGGCCAAGGCCTCACGGGAGGGGGGGGGGCTGTGGGCTGCCCGACATGTGGGTCAGAGCCCAAGGTCAGAAAATCTCCATGCTGTGGAGAAACCGCACGCTGCCACCTGGAGCCTGTGCCCACGCACCCTCAACTCACTTGGCGACGGACTGGATGACCTTGGAGGAGGTGTCCTTGAGGTTGGTGAGCAGGCGCCCGGTGCCCCCCCGCAAGATGTCCAGGAGCCCACTGTAGGGCTGGTCGTACTCGGCCACGGCCAGGCCTGCAAGCAGAGACAAGCCTCAGGCACAGCCGGGAGGGGCTGGGGTCCCAGTGATGGGGATGTCCAGAACCCCACAACCTGCGACAGCTGCACATCCTGGCGACCCAGCCGCCAGCATTCCACGTGCCAGCACAGAAATCAAACCGCAACTGGCGCCTGAGCCTTGTCTGTGCTCACACAGCACTACCAGCTGCGCTCCTGAGGGTGAGCACCAGCCTCTGGGGCCGCAGCCCTGCTCCTGTCTCTAGGATGCTCGGCCATCTCGCTCCCTGCCTCTGGGGGCCACAGCCCTGCTCCTGTCTCTGGGACGCTCGGCCATCTCGCTCCCTGCCTCTGGGGGCCACAGCCCTGCTCCTGTCTCTAGGATGCTCGGCCATCTCGCTCCCTGCCTCTGGGGGCCACAGCCCTGCTCCTGTCTCTAGGATGCTCGGCCATCTCGCTCCCTGCCTCTGGGGGCCACAGCCCTGCTCCTGTCTCTAGGATGCTCGGCCATCTCGCTCCCTGCCTCTGGGGGCCACAGCCCTGCTCCTGTCTCTAGGATGCTCGGCCATCTCGCTCCCCGCACTCCTGACACCCAGGACCCGCCACGGCACAGACGTACACCGAGGGCCCAGAAAGGGTGAGAGCCGCCATCCCTGAGGTATGAGGACACAGGGAGTTATGCGGGTGGCTCAGCTGGACAGTGGGTGTGCGTCTACCTGCCCACAGGATGGGGCCCGGTGTGAACAGAGCGCTGCCAAAGGCAGGCAGGTCCCGAAACCCTAGGGCCCCAGGAGGTGTGGTCCTCGAGGGCAGCGGTGGGTGGAAGTGAGGGCGAGCAGAGGGGTGTGGCCCGCACACCGCAGCTGTGCCCGGGAATCGTGGTCTGTCACAGCCCGTGACTACCGAGCAACACTGGCTACCAGATGGCTGGGCTGCAGCTGGGATGAGGGTTAGCCACTCTCCGGCCAACCTGTCCGTTCTGTGTGATGTCCATGCTGGCCGTTCACCAGGGAGTGACCACACCACCCCGACCAGGTGCCTGCGCCCGTGTGTGGTGAGCCCCATGTGGGCACAGTGAGCATGCGTGAGCATGCATGCACCTCTACATGCTGCGGTCCTGTCTCAACACCCCAAGAACCCCCAGGACAGTCCCGGTGCCCCACATGCTGGGCATCAGGACCCACACTGCATGCGCAGGGAATGCCCAGGACACGGGGCAGCTGGCTCTGGGGACAGTGCCTCCCCAGGAGACAAAGAGCTGCTGACACCTTGCAAACAGCGAGAAGTGGCCATGGGACGGGACACGTGCAGGGCACAGCTCTCAGAGCCTCCCGCACACTGCACAGAGCCTGCGCTGAGGGCTCCACATGCTAGCACTGGGCACCCAGACCAACACACACGGGATGTGGGGTGAAGCTCACTGACCAAACATAGCTGAGTCGGGAGGAAAGCCCACTGAGACCCACTGTGTCCAGCACCGGCTCTCCTGCCCGAGCAGCCTACCTTCTCCTGCGGCAGACGTGGCCCCACAGCCCAATCCCATCATGGTCACTCCCTGCCCACACAGCCCCTCGTGCCCTGGCCCTTGGTTGCTGCCTATGGCCCTGTGAGGGTCCCTCATCTACCAGGCCATAGTCATGCACCTCAGCTGGGCCTCCAAGGGGCTGGAGACGGAGCCGGCCACACAGGTGGACGGCGGCCCTGGCACACACCCCAATAGCCCTGCGCCCGGTGCCAGGGAGCTTCGGAGCCTGTGTTGCCGTGGCTGCAGAGAGGGTGGCTACGCTCACACCTCCCTCGCTCCATCCTACACGTGGCCCTGAGTTTCACCTCCACTGGGCTCTGGGAGCTCCAGGCAATCAAGATCCCGAGAGTGGCCCTGGGGCCCTGGATGGGCAGCCTCTCTTGCTGCTAGGCCAGACGCCAAGGGCAGGGTCTGGGTGCTGGCACCGGCAGTGTGTGGGTACTCACCCCCGCCGTAGCTGCTGCTCATGGGCCCCCCAGCAGGAGGTGGCCCTCGGGCCGGGGCGGTGTTCCCGTAGCCTCCATTCTGCTCCAGGAGCTGTGAGGATCCAAAGAGCAAGGACTCAGCTTCTACAGACGTCGGAGCCAGTCCGCAGGCTCCGTGTCAGGGAGAGAGCCTGGGGCCAGCTCGTGGCTGCTGCGAGCTCGTCTCTGCACGACCCACTGTGAGACCTCGTGCCCTGTGGGGACTTCTGCATAACAGTGTCACCCCCTTAGAGCAGACTGGGCCTCTCAAGAACCTGCCACTGTGGGTGACACCTGGAAGGCCCTACCTCAGTGATGGGCGCTTTGGGGTTCACATTCCTGGCAGCCGCGATCTCCTGCAGCTGGTTCACCAGCTCTGTGATGGACAGCCGCTCCTCTGGGTCGACTTTCAGCATGGCACCTGCGGCGGGGCAAGGCGTGCTCAGGGCCCCAGGGAGCCGCCGCCCTGCCCTGGCAAAGGTTGCGGACTCACGGAAGCCCCTGGTTTTACTGATGTCACTGACTTTAAGAACAAGCGAGGGAATGACACCAAGAGCAAGGATAACACAGGTAACAGGACCGAGAGCCACCACTTGGAGCACCGTAACTCACAAGGCTGACTGACGAGCACTCCGTGGAAAAGCCACCAGGAGGGCTGCCAAAGAGCCACGCAGGACGTTACAGGAGGCGTGTCCTCCGTGGTCCTGCACACGGGACTTACGGATGAGGCCGTGGAACACGGAGCACCGCGTGTCGTCAGCGGGGATGGAGTACTTCCCGTTCACGATGCGCAGCTTCGCCCCGTCTTCAAAAGGGTGCTGCCCGAAGCACAGCAGGTACAGGATGCAGCCCAGGGCCTGCAGGGGCGGGGAGGGCGGAGCTGAGAGGTGGGAGGGGTGACGGGGTGGTCCTGTCTGCGGACCCCGAGGGGTGGTCAAGGCTCAGTCTGGTCTGATTCACCCTGAGAGCAGAGCGGGGCCACGCTGTCTGTACACACAGCCCGCACTCCCCTGCTCCTCAGAGATGAGGAACGTGGGAGGCAGAGCAGCAAACAAAGGACGACCTCACTTTCTGGGAAGACCTTTCCAATGAAAAGTCCCTGCATTCGAGCCCTGGGCCTGTTGCTGGGGACACAGGGCGACTATGGAGGAGGGCAGCACATCCGTGTTTCCCAATGACACTGAGCACAGGCGGACAAGCCCTGAGACAGGACAGGCAGGGACCCGCTGCGTGAGTCAGGATGGCCACAGAACTGGCCCCGAACCCAGCACCAGTCACTTATCACTGTTCACCGACAGCCCCACTGGGGACCGTCGCAGCACCCACACTGCATCTGGCCAGGACGCAGAGCATACACCGCAGACTCGTGTGTGCGCATGTGTGTGTCCTGGGGCTGGGGTGGCTAAGGGCACCCCCCTGGGGTCACCTGAGACTCGGGGAGAGAAGACTGAGAGTGGAAGCAACTTCGTGCGCGGCCTGTTCTAGGAAGGCCTCTGGCACACGAGTCCACGGCTCACTGTTTGCACCGCCACCTGCCTCCACCTACGCCCAGGACAGGAGCTCCCTGTGCACGGTGCCAGCACCAGACATGAGCCTCGAAGCACGGGGGCTCAGGAGGCTGCACCGTCCCTGCACTTGGGGAGGCTGCAGGACACCAGAAGGAGCACAGCCAGGCACAGCACCCACCCCTAGCCCCAGATCTGGCCCTGTAAACCATGGCTCCGTGAATGCCTGGCCCCCGTGAAGGGCTCTGACCAGCAGAGCAGGTGTCCCTGTGGGAGGCCCACAGGCCAAGCCTGCAGGCAGCTGACTCCTCCAGTGACCCCCGCGGACTCCCCCCAATGACTCCCGCGGACTCCCCCCAAGTGACCCCCGCAGACTCCCGCCCCAGGGACCCCTGTGGACTCCTCAGCTCGGCCCCACTACTGCAGGGAAGAGAACAGGGCAAAGACACCTGGCAGGCCAGAGCCCATGCGCCTCTGCCGGCGCGGCACCGGGCGGCGGCCTCACCCAGATGTCCTGCTTCTCGCCGATCGGGAAGTTCGAGTACAAGTCCACGATCTCCGGCGTCCTGTACATGGGCGTCGTGTTCCTGGTGATCTGAAACACAGACAAGGGAGGTCACTTTTCTGTCGTCATCATTCATCCTCACCCACGGACACGTCTCCGCTGATTTTAGAGAGTGGGAGGAGGGGAAGAGAGAGACGGACTGGTCGCCTCCCACGTGACCGTGACTGGGGCCGGGGATCGAACCTGTAATCCAGGCCCTGACCTTGACTGGGAATTGAACCCTTGACCCTTCAGTCCACAGGCCAATGACCTGAAGACACTCTAACTGCCGAGCCACACCGGCCAGGGCTGCACTGCCTTCTTTGTAGCAGCGGCTCCCGCAGGGAGGACCCTCCCTCCCACTGGGCCCAGAAAGCCCTCGGCTGCTCGCCTCCCTCCTCACTCCCGCGGCCACCTGGCCCCTCCTGCAGCTCAGCCCCGCCACAGCCCAGCTACGGTGTCAGCTGTGTGTCCAGGAGATGGACGTCCCGGCTGACGGGCAATCCTGTCCAGAGCAGCCCGAAGCGGCTCTGTGCGGTGGGCCCTGTGTGCCTGAGAGTAAATGCTGTTCTCAAAGCAGCTTCCTGATGATTCTCGTGGACAAAGAGCCTTCGTCATGGGAGAGGACAAAATCAAATTCACGGGTGAGTCAGGTTTTTATGTGAAAAACCCGAGAGCTGGTCTGTTGAGTGGAGCCTGTGACAGAGAGGCTGGGGGCAGCATGGCTCCTGACGTGGCACACCCACACCGACCCCGGGCCAGAGATGCCCACGGGAACAGCACCATGACCTCGGCAGGACACCTGGAGGGTGACCCTCGGCTGTCCACAGGAAGGTCTGCTTCAGGAAGAGGGGGCACAGGCTGGGCCAGCACATAGGAGACACCCAGAGCCAACACACGGCCATGTCCAGACACATCAATGATGCCCGGGCCTTGACCAGCCCCTCACAGGACCTCCCTCCACGAGCGCCCTCCACAGAGCAGCCTCCACGGAGCAGCCTCCACGAGCACCAGGCGGGAGGTGCAGGCAGTGCTGTGGACCCAGAGGTGGCTGCACTGCAGGCCCGTGATCCCGTGTGTGTGCACCTGTGAGTCACTGCGCAGAGACGCTGTGGGGCAGCCCAGTGTGTGGCCCTGGCCCTCAGCCCAGTGTGATGAGCCCCCAACAACACAAGGCGCAGGCTCAGGCCGCCCTGGGCGTGATGCTGCGGGCTGCGCAACCACTGAGCGCTGCCCCGTCTCACCTCCTCCTCCACCAGGGCCCGCCGCTGGGCGCTCCAGCTGTAGTCGGGGACATGCGATATGGTGGTGGCGCTGCCGAAATCACACAGCTTAATGGTCCCCTGGTTACTCAGCAACAGGTTCTCCACCTGCGGGAATGTGGAAGACGGCCCTTACGGACGGGACGCAGAAAGCACTGCCCAGGGAAACAGCGCCTGACCTTCCCGACCACGACCGGCGCGCGTGCCTTAGAAACAGGACATCAGGGACAGTTGAAGTCAACCATGAATCCAAAGCAGCTGCAGTTAATAACGTGGGGCAACGATGAAACCGTTCAGAAAATCAGACAAGAAATTAACATGCTATTTTAAAAGTCACCAAATATATCAAGAAGTTGTGAAGGAATCCAGCCCGAAAACTGTCAAGTGAGATGAACTTTTAAAATCCAGTATCAACAGGAACCACACTCCTAACAGCGAAGAGACAAACCTGCCTGTCACTCGAGGACACAGTCCGGACAGCCCTGGTGCTTCTGCAAGGCCAACAGCTAAGGACGGTTTTCACAGCCTAAGTCCTGGGGAAATCAGACACCCAGCTCCTCACAACACCGGGCCGCAGCCACCTCGCGCACGCTCTCCTGCGGCCGGGGGCGGAGTCCATGTGGCCCACAGAGCACAAATGTTTGAAGTCAGCCCTTTAGAGAAGTCTGCCGACCCTGCTCAGGGACAGTTGCGGCAACCCCACACACTTCCTGACAAGCTGACTCACAAATGTGTAGGAGACACAGAGCCCAGAAGAGCCATGCGACCCCAGGTAGACATGAGCTGGACCACAGCTCTGGCGAGAGCAGGTGCTGGGACAGGACCCAGGTGTGGAGAAAGGGCAGACAATGCAGGGCCCTGCCCTCAACGCACAGGCAGCCACCAGCCTTCAGGACGACACCCGCGGGACAGAAGCACGCTGGCAGGGCAGCTGAGGACACCCACGGAGCAGCCCGAGCAGACACTGACGACCGAGAGTAAACGCTGAGCCAGGCACGTGCCCTACGCAGGGCTTCTGTGGTGAGGCAGACAGAGGCCTGAGCAGGAACGCAGACAGGCATGGTCACAGGTGCTTCCCCAGAGAGGGCTCCCAACGCCACAGAAGTGAAAATGGCAACTCTGTTCACAGAAGGAAAACCTCACTGAAACCAGTCTGTGGCCAACACCAAGAGCCGCAAAGCGCGCAGGCTATCCAGAGGCTCAGAGGGCACTGGTCACCGCTGCCTGGGGAGCAGGAGCCCACAGCATACGCCTCACCGGCTGGGCACCTAGAGGGACGAGCCCTGAAACCACAGCGCCGAGCAGAAAGCTACCAGGAGGGCGCACTCTGGAGCATGCACGGGAGACGCAGTGCCGCGTGGCGCAGGACACCCGTGGGCAGGCTTCGGGACGCCGGGCGCAGGGGCACTGGGAAGATGAGGGACGCAGCCCAGGCCGAGCTCACAGACGAGCTGTCATCTCTCCCCTGGTTCTCACGCAGCACACGGCTGACACGGAGCCAGCAGAGCCCTGGTGGCAGGAAGCCCCACTGCCCCCGGCCCACAGGGCAGCGGGGAAAGGCCGCGCCCACGGCACCCACTGCCAGGCGTCCGCAGCGTGGAGCCTGCCCGCTGTCGCCGGAAACCAGCCGCCGGCCCAGGCAGGAGAAGGCAGGCGCACCAGAGGTTCACATGGCAGGACACAGAGCCCAGGCAGGCTGTCAGGGCCGACCCTGCGGGCCACTGTCCCCACTGGGGAGGTTCCAGATCTCACACCCGGGGAACCAGGGAGCTGGCCACAGACTGGATTCGAGATGCTACCCAGGCAGTAATTTTCAACCTTTTCCACCTCGTGGCACACCAAAAAATACATTTTTTGCCAATCTTACAAAAAAAAAAAAGGTATCATTCTCAGTCACTCAGACAGCTGTTGCTGTGTTGGCTGTTGCCACTGTTGTAACTGACAGTCTAAGGGAAGAAGTCAGTGCCCTGACTAGATAGTCGAGTGCTGCACGTTTTAAAAACCCTGCGGCCCAGGCTGAGAATCCAGGTTGAGAACCGCTGGATGAAGGCCGTGCGCGCTGCTAAGCGGGGGTGGCTCAGTGACGCACCCAACACCCCTGCTCTCTGAGTTTCGCACACAGATGTCTGGGTGGGACGGCATGAGGTCTGGGATCTGCTCTAAACCCTCAGCGAAAGCCACCTGCACCGGCGAGCAGGATGGGGCCGCTGCCGCCCACACCGTGGCCAGGGCTGGCGCACAAGCTCCGGGGTGCCAAACCATTCCCACAAAGTCTTGGGTTTTCAAAGACACAAGAAGGGGAACAGAAACCAGGCCATATTACTCAGAAAAGACCATTGTGAGATGACACAAGGAGCTCCAGTTAATCAAAAACAACATGACAGGCCAGAAACAGGAAAGTTAGTTGAAACACAAGACACCGATGACTACAAGCAGTCAACAGCACTTAACTTCATCATCGACTTCAACACAAAAGGAAAACTCACTGCCCTCCTCCCCTACCCTCCGGCTGCTGGCAAAATGAAAACAGAAGCTTCAATCATGGACAGTGAGGGCCTGGGGCCGGGCCCTGCACCCACCCAGGAGGACGCGCAGCAGCCACTGGCACCACGCAGGGCACAGGCAGCTCCGAGGGCGACCAGAGGGGGAGCGCACGTCCACCTCACCAGGCAGCAGGACAAGAGCAGCACCCCTGAACCCTGCAGACAGGAGGGGAGCCAGGCCCACCCCTGCAGGTGAGGGGGGCACGGACCTGGTGCGAGCCCAGGTGCACCGCAAAGTCAGACCACACACAGGGAGGTCTCGCGGCTTCACAGGAGCAGCTCTGGGCCCCACTCGCGGTGAAGGGCTCCCGCACGGATCTGACTCAGCACAGCCTGGCCAGCCTCCCTGGCCCAGCCGGACACCCTGACTGCCGGTGGGCGGGCGTGGGGGGGGCACCTTGAGGTCCCTGTGGATGATGGGCGGCCTCTGCCGGTGCATGTGCTGCACGGCTCTGCACGTCTGGTAGAAGATCTTCAGGATGGTGTCACACGACAGCGGCCCTCTGGTTTCACTTTTCTTCAGGAACTCCACCAGCTGCCCTGGAAGGGACAGAGGTTCTCACCACAGGAGCCACTGATGCTGACCCAGGCAGAGCAGGGGGCAGGGGCAGGGGCGTGGCCACTGCTGCCCAGGCAGAGCCCACCGTAGGCACACCTGCTGCAGCCACGGGCTGGCACACAGAACTCCCACCGTCGGGGGGACGGCAGTGAACAGAGGGGCTACAAACACGCAGTCCCCTGTGAAATACTTGCTCCGTTCCCTCCCGTGACAAGGCATCTGCCGTCAGCATGGAACACTGCCCACAAGGACTGCGTGTGAGACCGAGCAGTGGGTGGCGGCAGTGCAGACGGGGTGGCCAGGCTCTGGGCCCAGGGAGCCCTGTCTTCCAGTCACTGGCCCCAGCCAAAGTTCCCCCCACGACTGAGCCGGGGACACATGGGTTCACACCTTAGCACCCATGCTGCCTTGTCCCCAACCCCGTCTCTGGCCCAGGCCCCAAGCCACCTCAGCGACAGGATGCACGACCCCAGTTGCTCCCACAGCTCCACCTCCTCGGTGGCCCTCACTCAGGCTGTCCCTTGCCTCCTGGGCTCAAGCACCACCTCCCAGGGAGCCAGCTCTGCCCGGCCTGGCACATGGATGCCCTTCCAACTTGCTCCCCAGCACTGGGCAGGTCAGTGGACCCGGAGCCTGCAGTGCCAGGAGCACACTCACCTGAGAACCTGCCTGCCTGATGGCGAGGCTGGGGCGCCCGTGTGGACTTCCACACGGCCAGTGTCTGGTGCCATGCAACTGGGTCACCTTCGCAGGGTTTGGAACAAGGCATGTGCCCTGCTATGGGCCTGCAGCTGCCCACAGGCTGTGAGTCTCCACCCTGGTGATGCAGCCGTGGCGGCCGCACACCAACCCACCCCTGCCTCCCTCCTGGCCACGGCGGCCGCTCCCAGCCACACTGCCGTACAGGCTTTGCACCAGCCTCAGGGGACACAGGACAGTGACCCCAGGCCAGGGGAGGAGAGCACGTGGAGGGCGTCACGACGTCAGTGCTCACTGGCCTCTGCCCTTCAGCACAAAGAGGGCCTTTCATTTATTTACTTGTTAATCCTCACCAGGAGATGTTTTCACATTGATTTTTATATGTTTTATATTTATTTTTAAAGAGAGAGGTAGGGAGAGGGAGATAGAGAAGCATAGATGTGAGAGAGAAACATCGATCAGATGCCTCCTGCACGCCCCCTACTGGGGATCAAGCCTGCAGCGTGGGCATGTGCCCTGACTGGGAATCGAACCAGAACTTCGGAGTCCATGGGACAGTGCTCAATCCACTGAGCACACCAGCCGGGCTCCCACTGATTTTTAGAGAGAGTGGAACAGGGCGGGATTGGGGGGTATCAACATGAGAGAAACACATCAACTGGTTGCCTCCCATATGTGCCTCGACCCGGGCTGGGGATTAAACCTGCAATCCAGGTACGCGCCCTTGACCAGGAATCAAACCCACGACTCTGGTGCGTGGGTCAATGCTCTAACTGCTGAGTCATGTCGGCCAGGGCAAGAGGCTCTTTTTAAAAAGGCTCTCCTGCCCGGCTGGTGTGGCTCAGTGGTTGAGCGTCGACCCTGCACCAAGAGGTCGCCAGTTCAATTACCAGTCAGGGCGCATGCCCAGGTTGTGGGCTGGATCCACGGTGGGGGCATGCAAAAGGCGGCCAGTCGATGTTCTCTCTCATTGATGTTTCTGTCTCTCTCTCCCTTCCTCACCCTCTAAAATCAATAAAGGGAAAAAAAATTTTTTTTAAGTCTCTCCTTCAATGGAACCAGCAACTCAATCCCCCGACCCCGTGTCAGGCAACCCCTGCACCTGTCCTGCAAGCACCCAGGCCTTCAGCCCCAGCCTCGCAGGCTGGCCCCACACAGTGGTCCCTGCAGCCTCATGCCAGGTGGTGTGCTCTGTGAGGTCGCCTGGTCACGGGGAGCCCCTCGGCCCCACACACTCGAGCACTGTGAGAACACCACACATCTCACTTGACAAATGGCTCACACAGGTGCTGTTGAACCCTCAGCCTGACAAAGTCAACGCTGGTTCTGCAGAGGCCTCTGAACCACCTCCAGGATGGAGGACACAACGAACAACCAGAACACTCGTGGCTGGAGCCCAGAGGTGCACCCATCAGGAGACACGCTGGTGCACGGAAAGCTTGTGAGGCCTCATCCACGCCACCCAAGGTGCAGGCCGTCCAGGTGGCACACCCCCCACCCGACCCAACAAGCCCCTGCTAATCCCAGCTACAGGGAACCAGGTCCATGTGGGACACAAGCACTTCCATGCTCCCAGGCTCCTGCGCAAGACAAGGCGTGAGTCTTGCAGGCACTGGTTAGGGACCTGGATCTGCGGACACTGAGCCTCAGAGAGCAGGTGAGCGTGGGAGCAAGAGGACGCGGGCAGAGCAAGCTTTTCAGAAGGAACAGCGGGCCTGGGGCCCCACACCTGTGCACGCTGCGCACCGCTTCTCAGCACGACAAGCTCGCGTGTCAGCAGCAGCGGTGACAGTGAGTGCCCACTGACTGGACGACCACCGTGCCAGAGCTCAGGGTGAGCTGCATGTCCCAGCCAGCTCTGCAAGAACCGGAAGCAGGGACCCAGACATGGAGAGCACAGCCCGCGACCCCCACCCTCCAGGTTCCAGACTCGGCTCCCCCTGGGACCCGGCCTCCCCATGCCTGAGAAAGCACTCTGCACCCGTTTCCACCTGCCGCCTCCCTCCACCCCATCATCCCCTCCTCAGTGCTCAGCATCTCGCCTGCTAGCTGTGAGGCCCACTTTCTCCTCTGCAGAGGTGCCTGTGCTCACTGCCCCAATCTCTCCTCCGTGACAACCCCCATGGTGGCAGGGACCTCGGGGAGAAGTGTCTGTGGTTGCCGCACCTGTCCCTCCCAGGGAGACACCTGCCTCAGTGCCCTTGCTGCTCCCCGGCCTCCGCTCCCACACCCACTGCCCACTGATGGATGAAGCAGCACTGTCAGTACTGGTGGCTCCCACCAGGTCGCAGGCCTCTGGCCCACTGGGCCTTACATGTCCTGTGCCCACTCCTCATCTCCCCAGGTCACGCTGTCACCCACTGAGCCTGTGGGCTCCAGGAGGTGGGCATGCTCCACCTCACCCACTGTGGTTCGCCCGATGCACAGCCCACCCGGCCCTCCAGGGGACAGACCGGACACAGAGGGGCCTGGCCTGACCCCTCTCTGCCCCCCAACTCTGCAGAATGCACTCCCAGTGCTGCCCAGGACCAAGCAGCCTATCCTCCTGAGAACCAGCCTCAGGAGGACCAGGCCCCACGTCCGCTGTTTCCACCACCATCGGCACACTTCCTGGAGAAGTGCTGGGCGTGCCCGGCTGTGTGCCCGCAGACGCACCTCTGCAGAGCTCCGTGAGCAGCAGGAACTCCGCCTGCCCCGTGTCTGACTCCTCCTTTCCTATGGACGCAGCAGAACAAAACTGGACAATATTGGGGTGGCCAGAAAGCTTTTTCTGCAGGTGTTGTGTTAAAGGAGAACACATTAAGTCTGCACATTTAAAAATAAACCAGGTGAGCAAAAACCAGGTGAGTATTTTCCCATGAACAACTGAACCTCCTCTCGCCCCGTACACTGCATTCAGACACTGCATGTGACAGTGAGGGACACGGGCTCGGGTCTCCGCACAGCAGACCAGGAAGATGCGGGCAAGCGGAGGGCACAGGTGTGGGGGCGGGAAGACAGAGTATGGGTAGAACCACCACCACGCTGGCCACACGCACCTGACCACAGGCCGGGCCGGACAGCAGCAGAGGACATGGCGTGAGAGGCCATGAGCAGTGAAGGTGCCCACCCCAACCTCAGCAAGGCCAGCACTGTTGGCAGCGGCCAGCGGGCTCACAGCGCCCAGAGCTCTAAGGGAAAAGAAAGCAGATTCTGGAGGCGAAGGGCGAGAGACCCCAGCTCAGGGACAGCTCAAGCTGGGGTAGAAAGCAAGCAAGAAATGCCCACCATCCACCATCTGTGCAAGGAGCCCTCTGCCCAGGGTGAAAGGGACAACCAGGCTCCGTGGGCCCAGCGGGTCGTCCGGCTGCCCACCCTGGGCATGGAGACCTCTGGAGAAGACCCCCATCTCCACTCCCAGACCACGGAGTCTCTACTGCTCCCGGGAGCAGAGAACAAGGACACACTCCTTCTCATGGGAACAGTCTCCAGGGTCCGGGAAAAGGATACCATGAAGCACACTTCCTGGATGATCGCTCTGTTCTTCTCCTCCTCGTTGGACAGCAGCCTCTGACGGGGAAGGGGCATAGACAAGATCAGCAGCGGTGTGTCTGTCTCATCAACACCCAGCACAAATCAAAGCACCTAACACCTGGCCTGTGCAGAGACTGACAGAAGGTTAAACACCCTGGAAAACGGTCCTTCGCATTTACAGTCCAAGGACACAGGAAAACTGCACACAGGAGCCTTCTCTGCAAGTGATGGGAATGAAATAAATAATGAAAGAAAAGGAGACGCCGCAGAACTCAGGGTCCTCGCCCTGGTCCCCAAGTCCAAGTGGGCCCCTTACAGCTCAGCTGCACACCCAGAATGGCCCAGGCTGGACACGCTCGCCCGAAGCCCCAAAGCTGGACACCGCAGCTGCAAAGTCCACAGAAGTGCGGATGGCTCCTCACCATCAGAAGAAACAAACAGGACAGACAGACAGACAGACTGCAAAAAGAAACAAGCTAAATAATAGGGAAAACTCCCTCAAAACACTGTCACTTTGAGGTTTCCTTTAAAACCACCAGAGCCCACACTGACTGTGCCCCCTCCTCACCTTTAATGCATACTCTCTGCCACTTCCCAGATCCTGGGCTTCGTAGACGAACGCAAACCCTCCTGAAAATTAAAAAACAAACACATCAGTTCAGTGCTGTGATTCTACTGAACATCAAAGTATCTTTACTAAGTAAAATACAAACTGGACTTGTGGACAACAATTTGTTTTCTATAAAAATAATGGCTCCGCCCTGTCCGGTTTGGCTCAGCAGTTAGATTGTCAGCCCGCGGACTAACGAGTTGCGGGTTTGATTCCAGTCAAGGGCACATACCTCAGTTGCGATTCGTCCCCGGCCCTGACTGGGGTTGTGCTGAAGGCAACCTGTCGATGTGTCCCTCTCACGTCAATGTTTCTCTCTCTCTCTTTCCCTCCCTCCCTCCCACTCTATCTGTACAAAAGTGGAAAAATATCCTTGAGTGAGGATTAAAAAGAAAAATAATAGCTCCACCCTGGCCGGTATGCTAAGTGGTTAGAGCGTCGGTCTGCAGACCAGAGTCCTGGGTTCGGTTCCCGCTAAGGGCATGTACCTCAGTTGCAGTTTGACACTGGCCCCGGTTGGAGTTGTGCGGATGGCAGCCAGTCGATGTGTCTCTCTCACATTGATGTTTCTCTCTCTCTCTCTTCCTCCCTCTCTCCCTCCTACTCTATCTGAAGATAAATGCAAAAATATCCTCAGGTGAGGGTAAAAAATAATAATGGCTCCAATTTACATTATACTACTTTTTTTTTTTTTTTTTATCCTCACCCGAGGACATTTTTCCATTTTTTGTTCAGGTAGAGTGGGAGGGAGAGAGAGGAACAGAGATAGAGAGAAACATCGACATTAAAGGAACACATCGAGTGGCTGCCACCTGCACAACCGACCAGGGCCGGGGACAAACTGCAACCGAGGTACGTGCCCTTAGCGGGAACCGAACCCGGGTCTCTCTGGACCGCAGGCCGACCCTCTAACCGCTGAGCCAAACCGGCCAGGGATATTTTAATTATCTTACTTCAGAGGCAGGAAGAAAATAAATATAGGAACAGAGATCAATGAGGGAAACATGGAGAAAATCAACAAAGCCAGAGACAGCTCTCTGAAAACAAATGAACTCAATAAATTCTCCAGACTGATCAGACAGAGCAAGTGAGAGCGGAGACAGGACCAACGACCAACACTTGACAGCACTGCCAGAACACACAGAAAATGATGCTAAAGACTGACCACACATGAACACAGACCAAGGATTTCTTAACAAATCCTTAATTCTAAGTAAATTAACATGTTAGCACACCAAGCCCAATAGTATATAAAAAATGACGCTACATCATGACTAAGTAGAGGTGGCTTAACACTTAAAACTTTGATGTGACTCGATTGTTTTAGGGTTAATTTGCATCGCCTCTTCTAGCTCCCGGTGGTGGGAAGTCACACTGCGGATGCACAGCTTCCAGCAAGCTGCGCGGCCTGGTCAGGGACACCTGAGAGACAGCAGGCCTGGTGGCAGAAGGCCCGCACCAGCCCGAGAGCAGGACGAGGAGGACGGCGCTCTCACCACTGCTGCTCAGCCTCCTAGGGAAGGCTCCCTGGGCAGCCAGGCGAGAGAGAGAAAGACAAGGCACCAGATTGGAAAGGAAGAAATAAAAATGTGTTTCCTTGCAGACAACATGATCATCTATGGACACAATCTTGTGAAACCTTCCCCCCAAAAGCCACTATAACTGACCAATAAGTGTGGGAGGCTGGGGGCTATCAGACCACGTGAAAAGCAACTGTCTTTCTGCACCCGGTCAGGCAGAGAGTTCCCAGATGTCGGAAGAGGCGTGTGATCCACGAAAGAGAAAAATGAGAAGTGGACTCACAGACGTCTAGTTCCTGGGCACACTGCTGAGAGGAAAAGCAGACACAAAGTGGACTTTGCAAACTACGTTTCTGAGGAAGGACTTCTCGCCAGAAAACATAAAGAAAATGCAAAAATAGCCCTGGCCGGTTTGGCTCAGAGGTTAGAGCGTCGGCCTGTGGTCCAGAGAGACCTGGGTTCAGTTCCCGCTAAGGGCACGTACCTCGGTTGCAGTTTGTCCCCCGCCTGGTTGGGTCGTGTGGGTGGCAACCAGTTGACGTGTCCCTTTCACATCAATGTTTCTCTCTCTCTCTCTCTCTCTCTTCCTCCCTCTCTCCCTCCCACTCTGTCTAAAGATAAATGCAAAAATGTCCTCAGGTGAGGATACATAAATAAATAAAAAGAAAATACAAAATTCAAAAACAACAAGTATTTTAAAGACACATTCCACCAGACATGCACAGGTGGGTAAGCTAACTCATGAAAATGAGTCCAGCATCATGACCCAGCAGGGAAATGCAAACGTGGCCAGGGACGCTCCCGGACATCCAACCAGACGCCCACACACAGACAGACCGGCCACAGCAAGCGTGGGCAGGGGACACCCACTGTGCTGGGACTGAAATGCTGTGACCACTCCGGAGAAGCCTGGCAGTTCCTTAAGCAAACACACGCGACTCCACGGCATCTGCTGCTCCCACAGCCCCCCTGTAAGTGCCCGATGGAGCAGCCGTGTCTGCTGACGGTGCGTGGACACGCCGATTCACTGCCCCAGATGCAGCTGCCTCACGATCGACAGGGGATCCACTGCTGACAGCAGCCATGTGGGCGACTCCAAACAAGTCCGCTGAGGAAAGCGCCAGGGAAAGAGCACGTGCTCGCGACCTCCTTCACAGACTCCAGGGAACACAAGCTCATCCACAGCAGCGGAAAGCCCGCTGCGGTTGCCTGGGGCGGAGGCGGGGCGGAGGAAACCGCGTGTGATGGATGTGCTCACTGCGCTGATTACAGGGACAGGACACAGGTGTATGTGCCCCGAACATACACACATGCACTTTGTGCATCATTTTTACCTCCGTGTAGCTGTTAAAAAATAAAATTAATGAATCCATGTGAAAAATAGATGAAAAGAAATAAATGACAATCCATGAACTAGAAATAGCAAACAGACCGTTTTCCTGATAAAGTCTATCAAACATTTAAGAAAGAAAGCAGAAGAATCTTATACAAAATCTCTCTGAAGACAGAAGAGGAGAAAGCAGTTCCTAGCCCATTTTCTGAAGCCAGAGGGAAAAAACAAACACACTACAGATCAGGATCACTCACTGACACAGACATAAAAATCCTTAAGAAAACACCAGCAAAGTGGCTGCAAATCCTAACAAGAACACGGTGGGCTGCATGGGACCAGCCCAGGAATGCCAGGGTGGTCCAGCACTGAAAACATTTGCTGCAGACACATGGACAGACGGAAAGTGGGTCCACTTGACAGACACAAAGCAGGAGCTGTCGACGTTCAGTCATGATCTTTAAAGACAGTTCAATAAAAACAGCAAACTGGGGACTGAAGGGAGTGTCTTCAGCCTGAGCAATGGGACTGCTAAGAACCGACAGCTAGCAGGAGACTTGATGCTTCTTTCTGAGATCAAGACAAAGCAAGGAGTTCTGCATTTAGCACTGCGATTCGGTATCTTTTGAGACCCTAATCAGTGCAAGAAAGCTAGAAAAATTAACAAAGCATAAAGATCAAACAGGAAGAAGTAAAACTGATCTTACTTGCAGATGATATGACTGTCAAGGCCAACAATCCCAAGGACTCGACCAAAAAACTCTAAAACCAGAGAGCAGCTTAGCAAGGCCACGAGGTCTTAGACTGCCGCCTGACCCTCTGCAGCCACGGCCACAGCCACAGCCACACTGAGGCCACTCCTCCTGAGACACAGCCGCCCGACCATCCAGGCCTCCCTACTTCCCGCAGACCCGAGGTGGCACCCTCACCACAGGCGGCCTGACTCCCACTGGCCCCGCGCTGCTCAGGCTCTGCTCTCCAGCCTGTGAGGGGCCCCGACTCACTCCATCCCCATTGTGTCCCTTCTTCCTGCACGTTCTGACACCTGACACCGTATCATACTCAGCTGGATGCCTGTGAACCGCCCCTGCCACCACCTGGAAGCTTAACGAGCAGAAACTCCACCTCTGTGGTTGACATTGTACCACCAGTACCTGGAGCCATGCCTGACGTACTCTGGGCGGTCAAATGAGTCCCAAACAAGCAAACAGACCAGGACAACGAGATCCCAAGTGAAAACACGCATTCGCCTTACAGTTGACGCCCAGAGCAGACTACGCACAGTCCACGGGCATGGGCACAGGCTGAGACGGTGCAGAGGAGGAGAAATGCACACTGGAAGCTCACAGTGGTGGCTGCTTGGAAGGGACGGGAAAGGCCGCAGGGAGCAGGAGGCCACAGAACTTCTAACAGCACCTGGATGTTTAATTTTTAAACAGATCTGGAGCCAAATGTAATTTTTAAAAGCTAACATGGACTCGTTCTGGACAGCAGAGACATAGATGTTTGTAGTCCCCACCCCCCTACGGCATCGCTGAAGCAATCCTGAGGGGGAGGACACCCAATCTCAGGACGGGCTACAGTAGCCAGGACTGTGGTGCTAGGGGAGGGGCAGAGGCACAATCACTGAAACAAGACAGAAAAACCCTAGACATGGGGCCATACAACATGCCCACATGATTTCTGACAGGTGCAGAAGCAACTCAATGGCGGAGGGGCAGTGTTTGTAACAAGCGGAGCTACAGCCCCTGGACATCCTTGGGCAAAAATGACAGAACTTTTATCTACACGTCACGGCTCACACCAATCAACTCAGAGTGTACAAATGTAAAACCACGGAACGTTGAGAGAGAACAGAGGAGAAGACCCTCACAGTCTGATGCTGGACACAAAGTCCCTGACTTGACAGCAGGAGCAGGTTCACACAGGGAAAGGTGACAGGCAGACCCGTCCCAGGTAACTTCGCATCTGCAGCCCGTTCAGAGGACAGAAAGACAAGCTGTCGACTGAGAAGGTGCTGCCAGCACCCGCGGCTGGAATATAAACAACTCTCAAAACTCAACAACAAAAATGCAATTTAAAAATAGGCAAAGACAGGAAGAGACACCTCACCCATGAGGATGCGCGGATGGTAGGCACCTGGCTGACCTTCAGAGATGCTCATTAAAGA